CGTACATATAATAATTTACGAGATAATTAAATAAAAGTCATTAGAAGGTGCAAGTCCATGGTAATCCGACTATGTTTAGGTGGTTACAAAAAAGCGATCACCCAGTACATTGCGCTGTCTTTTAAATATTTAGTGTAATACACCTTACGATTTCGGTACAGTTGCGTACAGTGTTAAATACATTCAACATTTATTCATTAGTATTACCTATTAGTGATGCGCAAAATGTATCACTGAGCTGAAAAGATTGATATATATCATTTCGCTCAAAAGATATATATCACTCATCTAGCTCACTAGCTCATTTAGCTCACTAACTCGTTTAGCTCACTAGCTCATGTAGCTCACTAACTCGTTTAGCTCACTAGCTCATTTAGCTCACTAGCTCATTGATCCGATTCAATTGATTGGTCTCACAATTAATTCATTTCTTCATCTAGATTTTAGCTCAGTATACTCCTATATCACTCACTTTAAGCCTCTCTCGCCATACAAACCTTTCTTTATTTTCATATTAACCTAAATTCAGTTTTTGAAACTACATTTTTAACCTATTTTTGTTAAATACAATTTTATTCATTTTGATAAGATTACATAACTATTAACATCCTTTTGCATAATAATTAAAAATAAGAAATTATTTCATGTGCTTTTTTTTAGGTTGTATAATAGAAATCATACATAATTTGATTTTCCTTGTACTTGGCTTAATTCTTAAGTAACATTAAACTTCGATCCTATAGTAATAATGTACATTTTGCATAAAGAAACCTGCGTGAACTCAACCATCATCTATCTCACTCATTTATCTTTAGTCTCACTCGCTCATGAAACAAAGATCGGCGTCGTTGAGCTAGTGATCTAGTGATCTAGTGAGCTAGTAGTGAGTTACTGATATATTCGGAGCTAGTGTGAGTGAGTGATACATTTTATCGTCGTGAATGATATATATATTTTATATTACTCACTCAGGAGCTACACAACTCTATTACCTATTATTTATTTTGTTTTTTTCCCTAATTGATCTTAAGCACTAGTTTCTTTACTTAAAATTTCTTTAGTCCTTTTTACTACCGGAGCTACAATCAACAGAAAATCTGCACTGATCCGCTAAAATTATAAATATGTAGATACATGTATGAACGATTCACCTGACTGCAATAAATCGAAAATTTAAACCAATAAGAAATCGTTTCATTTCTTTGATTTTTTTTTGTAAAGAAATAACACTAAAGTAATTGTATTTTATTTTGGGGTGTATAGAGCTTAGACTTGAATGCATCAAAATATTTAAAGCAACAAGTCATCTACAATAAGTTAAAATAGACCGAATAGTAGAAGAATACAGTTGTAAATTAGAATGCATCAACATTGCATCGCCCAACAGTCGTATACCTCGTAAGAGTAGGTAATATTGTTCTGTGGTCTATACCGAGAACCGAGAATTATCTATACCTATGTACCTACCGTTAAGCGTTGAGCCCGTGACTGTTGATTTCTGTTAAAAACGAACAGTTGTTGAATGATATTTTGATATAATAACGGTAATTTAATTTATCGAGTGAAAGTGATACATTTTTATAGATAAAATTATTGGTCAGATAATATTTGTCAATCAAGAATCGCTGATAATACATCCTTCGCTAGAACGCGGGCGGGGAGGGGCGAAGGGATACTTCATTGTTTGCAATTTGCATCTAGTGCACTAAACTTGACCCTTAGGCAGATAATATACGTGTTGTAAAGTACGTGTGCGCTTCCGCTTTCTATTTTTGCAAATATTTATCGTATTCTTGAGAGTTCTTCAATATGTGTGTACCTAATTACTAATAATGGGCATTAATGCTAATTCGATTCAATTTAAGTAATTGTCAATTCTTGTCTTAGGATATTAATTACTAATGCTAATATTGAAATTTCGTTCAGGGTGAACAAATTAAAAACGATCATAACTTGTAGGTAGGTATATCACTTATTACTAATTTTACATAAATAATTTATTTTATTATAATTTAACTCACCCCGATTTTGTGATCAAATATTTTATTTTCTCCAAAATTATTACAGAAATAATGCAATACAGAGTTTGTTCGCGATATGCTAGCCTAAGTCGATTCATCACTTAAAAAAATCCCCATCTATTCACAAAATACCTATTTACAACGCATACGTTACACTCTTCAAAACTTAAATTACCTATATCTACCCTAAAATTAAACTTCAATTAACAAATACTACGCAGGTACCAATTCTATGAACAACTATAAACAATTCACCTAAACATTACGAGAAAACATAAGCATTCAAAACAATACCCAATCTCCCGGCTGATTACTAATTATGCAATAAACAATCCTAAATAAAAAATATTTAAAAAACATGTAGTTTTTTGTAACACTTATGTACATATCCGTAGTAAACTTGCAAATAATATCCTACATATTTTAAAAGCCAGCACAATGTACTGGGTGACCGCTTTTTTGTAACCACCTAAACATGGTCCGGTTACCACGGTCTTGCACCTTCTAATGACTTTTATTTAATTATCTCGTAAATTATTATATGTACGACGCTGAAATTTTACAGGTAGACAACTGAACTAAACAACTAATTATTGGCATAACATTCAGTTTATATATCCACACACAGGTTTATCGGTGGCAAAAAAAGGCCGCACACATTGTGATCGTGAACGTGGAGAGCTACATTTCATCATAACTTTTTAGTCACTTACAGTACCTATTCTTACGAAAATTCGTATACATTTGAAGGTAGTTACAAGCAATAGAATAACGTTTCAAGTAAGTCTTTAGAGGTCTTTTTTAAAGTGTTAGGACGTATTGAAGTGTTTTCATACTTACCTAAATAATTTTTAAACGGTCCATTATTTTTGTTATTTTATTGTCGAACAAATTAAAACTAATCCTTAAGAAGTTATGTACAAAAGATGGTTACAATCCGCTTACTCGTTTCAGAGATCCAGCAAACCCACAAACGTTACTCCAGCAGGATTTCGAATAACTTCGCAGCCGAAGAAAATACAAATACCAAATAAGTTGTAACATTTACCTAGTCCAGATAACTAATTATTTAGCTAAAATTTATTTCAATATTACAATTAAAAAAGAAAATGTCTGGCTGCGGTAACGTTTCAAACGTTACCCCAGCAGGAAATGTTTTTTTGAAATAACTAAAAAAGTTTAAGTGAAACAAATTTAAAAATGTGCCTAACAATTACAGAAGGGGAGCAACTAATTATCTATAACGTTTAAATGACCATTTTCGACATTATTTTGCTGGGGTAACGCACACCAAAATTTAGACCGCCGTTCCTTGCATAAAGATCCTGTTTTTTTTAATGATTTTATTACAAATGTATAGTTTTCAGATTTTTACCTATACTTGTAGTATAAGACGGTATTACTTGCCAAATTTCATAGTTCCAGGTCAACGGAAAATAGCCTATAAATTTTGATTCCCTTTGAGTATCTTTATTAGGTTAACTTTCTAAGTTTCTTAAACTTAGTTTTTTTACAGCTTCAAGAGACTGTAGACTTGAGCATATCGTTTTAATTTCAACTTGATACCCTAAAAAAGCGATTGTACGCCTGTGATTAGAAGCGCTTACTTTTAGTTATTTTCATCTTAAGTATACTCGTCTTGAAACTTAAATGTACTTCAATAATTTTTGATAATTTTAAATAATAAAAAACATTTTTTTTTACTTTTTAATTAAAATGGTTTGAAATACAATACTTAAACTAGGAAAGAAAAAAAATGTTTACGATTACGCCCATGCCCTGCACCTAAAATTGTAGAACGTTTAGAAATACGATGATCTCCTTAATTCTTAAGTAACGTAACTGCTTTATTGATGATAAAATCTTTTAAACTTTCTTTTAAGAAACATAATATAAAGGAATTTTTAGGTCCTATTTTACTACAAACAAACTACCTAGTGCAATTAAAAGCAGCCATTATTACTTTACTTCGAGACCCATAATTATACAAAAAAGTTGAGAACAATTTAGCAAACAGATTCGAAAACGTTTAAACGTCCTCGTAATAAGGCACACAAATCAAATACCTACTGACTACTAATTACGCTTAAAAAACTGTCAAAAAAACATTTTTAATAACTACAATAAAATATTCATATAATAACTAGCGTAAACACCTGGCATTACTGGTTGCCAATGTATACCTATTTAATTTTAAAAGCTCACGTGTTAGTGAAAAACGAACGACATATAATTTTTAAAGTACGTAAGTACATGTAGGTACTCGTACAGTATAGGTATGTTCCTTATATATACCTCCACTGATCATTAGCTGTGGGTACCTTAATAATAGAAACCAAAACTCAGTTTCGATATCTAAATAGAAAATTACAATAAATATTTCTTGAAGACGAAGTGGCAAGTTCAGATTTAATCTGATAAAAATGCCCATGGAGTGGCTTCTAAAAAATCAAGAGGGAAAGTTCTGCAGCTTCACTGAAGTGAAATTAAACCAAAACACTTTGGTTTAATTTAATTAGTTTAGACTTGAAATTCACATGTGAAAGGCGTAAGAGATTTTCATTTTCTTTCACTGCGTTGATCTACATGTATCTCAAGAATTAAGGAAATGTTTCTTTCAGAAACGGTACATGTTTTTTTTTAAATTGACTGAAACACACGTAAACCATAAAAATATCACCAATCGGCAATCACCACAGACCAATTGAGATCCTATTAGTGACACTGCAAAACTAACAAACTTCGTCTTTACTTAGAGAGTAAAAACTAAAATACCTTGACGTTTATCAAATGTATTGTATACTCGATTTTTTAATATTTATCATATATATTCTATTGTAGCATATGTAATCATGAGAATTCGAATCTATTATGGTACCACTAGAAATAATAATTCAGTGAAGTTATTTATCAAATGCTAATTTTACATTACATAGTAAGAATAAAAATTCTAATGTAGTTAATAATATAAGAAATTGATTAAGCTTGTGGTTTATTAGCTTTCTGGCCCTTGGGTCCAGGTGCATTCTGACCGTTTGACTTATTTTTTTGCATGTCTTTGTTTGGTCCCTTGGGCCCAGGTCCTTTTGGACCTTGTGGCTTATTGTCATTGCCATCACCTTTATTGTTTTTGTGCTCGGCGGGAATCCTCTTTATAAAGAATCTAAAGGATAATTTTTTGTTACTAATGAAGTTGATTAACACATCTAAAGGCAGAACGGCACATTTTCCCGTACGGAACACTTCGTCCGGTTTTAAGGCATCATTGAAGCAATGTTCCGTAAACACAACTTTTCTCCTAGAGTTTTGCTTGCTTAAAATGTGTATTTCGTAGATATGGTCATGAGCCGCCTTCTTACTGCCGATATGCTGTATAGCCCAGTAGGCCATTTTTTGAAGTGTATCAATTTTCATGGTGATAATAAAAAGCATTTTACTTTGCGATACCAAATAGAGATGACGATCATCGATCTTGGCGTCTACATTAGTCAATTCTACTTCTTCATCAGTAGTTACGTTGCAATTTTGTGCATGACGCTCTTTGAAATGTTCCATCATATCTTTCAACTTACCTGTGAAATAGAAATAACTTTAACTAGTGGAATAATATTATAAATGCTTGTAGAATATGGGGAGTGCAATTATTGGAGGAGAAAATAAATAATATCGACCCTTTTGAGTACTTATTGACACTATTCACTGAATTTATCTAACCTAACTAAATGTTAAAGCTGATGATAACAAACATGTAGGCATATCATCTTTTAAACAATCCATGCTCTTATTTTTGAATGTCCTTTAAACAACTTTTGATCTTTCTTTGTTTTAATTATTATTTATTAAAATATTACCGCTCCATGAACATTTTCCAAAAGCAACGCCGAACGGACAGTCCATCTCCCTGAAGATACATTCTTTGAGATGCTCCTCCATGTCTCTTGACACCATGGTATAAACGCATCCGGCTGCTTTGTTAGCGCAAGGTACTTTGGCCTAAAATACAAAGAAGCAATTAAAACTTAGGCATTTGTAAGTATAACGTAATATTAGTTACACGCTTAGATCGCACCCGTGATGAACGTGACTTTAGGTTTGTCTTGTGCACATGGACACAGGTCATACAACGTTATCTTATCAGTAATAATGTTCATAAAGGTACATACTATGTACATTATTTGATGTCCAGGTTTTATTAGCGTGGATGTCAATTATTATACATAATACTTGTATTGTACGCGATTTTTTGTTTTTCACGTTTTTATTTGTTTGCACGTTACAGCCAACTAACTTAATTGGCTCCCTAGTTTCTAATCTGTTTTACTGAAACGGCGCCTTTCAACCAACTGTGGCCTGATTAACAGGCAGCAATTCAAGAAACAGGTAAATCTATAGGATCGGTAACGTTTCGCTAGTCTGTTACCTGGTTCTGTCAAGTTCTGTCAAGGTCTTAAATTTTTAAAGCGTTTATGAAACGTTTATGTTATCAAAAATAGCGATATGAAAGAGTTAAGTGAGGGATAAATTTAGCCTTTACTAACTTAAGCAGTAAGCTACATGTACTATCTACAAAATAAAAATAAAAGTTTACCTTGATGCTGTAGGTAAGATCGTGAATTTGTGACATAATAATAACAAAGGAAATAGGTACATACAATAATACATGTGACTTGAGTGTACAAGTAACAAACGAAATAAAAAAATAGGTTCTGTGTGGATGTGTGGTGTCGCAAAATTAGTCAAATACTCAGTTTATGTTGATGTTATTGAGTTTAGTGTAATCTTATTATATTTATTTATTGAAAATAGCAGATATTGACACAAAGGTTCATATAGTAAATTAAGAAAAGGTACATATTGAATAAATTGAAATATTAAATTAAAAAAGGTACGTTGAATAAATTATTGATATATATAAATTGAAATATTAAAAATACCTTTGCAATAATATCTTCCAACTGCCAGTTCCGCATTTGCGTGAGCGGTTGGCGGCAAATTGGACACATCGGTGGCATTAAATTCTGCGTACAAGAATTGCACAGACTGTGCCCTGACTGGCACTGGAAGATCGGGGCACTCATAGTCTCCATACAGACGGGGCATTCTGGCAATTCCACTGCCACAGTCGCTGCCCTGTAGCAATAAATATTTAGCTGTTTTATAAGAAATAGATTAGAAAGTGGCTAGCAGCAGATGGATGCGGACTGCCTAAGACCGGGATAGTTGATGCGCCTTGAGGAATGCTTTCGTTTAGCAGAGGACAGCGATAAGCTGATGGTGAAGTAAAAAAATAGATTTAGATGACTGACGTTTATCTACTATTATAAAAGGCATTGATGTTAATAATGTTCATTATCTCATATTAAATAAAAAAATAAATTAGTGGTCATTTTTTATTTAGTCTCGAAATTTGCAGTTACTAAGCTACTTAAAGAATATTTCTTATTCAGGTCACATAAATAGGATAATGGGTTAAGTAAACGTCAGAAAAACTGAAACGGTATAAAATGTTCTAGAATCTATTCTTACAGTCACGCCTAAATTCCTTCAGGGGTAGGCAGGCAATCAACAAAATATTTGCCTAAATAATTTACCTTTAGAAGACGGCTAGGGTTTCCTAGGCGTCTTCTAAAGGTTTACTTAAGTTTAAGCATAGAAGTATTGATTTTATTGCTCAAAATAAATAGTTTTTAGGTGCATGACAAATTTACAGTAATGTCCCTGGTGTGGTGAAGCGATTCGCAGGGTTGTATGTCTTACCATCGTATTATTAAAGTTCTAGTTATTGCCCGCAGCTCCGCCTAGTGTTGTGACGACTCCACTTTCATGCTTAAACCGGTTTAAACTCGTTTGAGCATGAACCGGGTTTAAACCGGTTGAGCCGTGTCATAAGATCGCAATGCACTTAGCATCGTATAATCGCGCTCGTGGCTCCTGTTTTACCGAGCGAAAAAAACTGATTTATCTACGACGACACGACAATAAATCTTTATCAATTTACCTACAAGCACAAACTATTTAATAATTTATCACATATCCCGATTTACTAAACGTTCGGATCTAAGGGTCATATTTCTCTTATATCCACCAAATGAGAAAAAAAGAAGGCATGGTAATCGTGTTACTTGACTGGGTAGTTTGTTGTATTGTCCATAGCTCTCAACAAACTACCAATCTATTCATAGCGTCGCCGCGTCGGTCGTCGGTTAGTGTAGGTAATGTCAAGTTTTACACTTGTATGTAAACTCGGTTGCAAACCGTAAAACGGTTTGATTGATCCCGTCGAATTATGTTGCAAATTGCTTTCGTATGTTACATTATCTGTTCAACTCATGATACGGTTCAAACCGTGAATTACTGCAATTTCAACGGTTGGGTTTGGAACCAATTCGCACGAATTGGTTCCAAACCGATATTCCAGACCATCACATCTCTAATTATTATATACCATATTATTATGATGGTTACTCGTTACTCGCTGATATAATGTAACTTTCCATTGATGAAAGAGTTTATAAAATCGGTTTAGAGGTTTTGGCGTTAACGCGTAAACAAACAAACACATCTCATTTATGATATAAGTATGGATACTGAGTCAATTATTTCAAATCATTGTATTTATAGTTCAGTAACCTACCTACCCAACACTAATAAAATATAGTTAGGAATAAGAGGATACTCACTTTCTGTTAGCCTTTGCTGACGCCATTCTTAGTCGTGTGCTATAACAAAAAAATGACAGATATAAGAAAATCAGAAGGAAATCTCGATTAAATTAATCGGTACACCTGGTTTAGGTAGACATTCGAAACATTCAGTAACGCTACAGAACAAGCATATTAAGAAGGACAAATTAGTTAGGTTGGTACGATTTTCTATTCTGTGGCCAACACCACTAATCTAACCAACGCGAATTCTCAGGTTTAGTTGTAACATAATGTATCTACATTAATTTATGGAATTAGCTACGAATAATAAGGAATCACCCTAAACACGTAAAGCATAGCGATTCTTAAAATAATAATATATACTAGGTACTACATGGTAATATTTAAGCATTTGTAATTTGTTTAAAATGGGCACTTAGCAAACTAAAGAGCAAATACCATAAACAAGCACAACGGTTTATTTTTTATTACATGATATTCCATAACTTTTATGTGCTGATGTCTGTTTTTCGTATCTTACGTTGTAAGGGCTGTACCACTCGTCCGATCACCACCATCATCAACAGCCTTTAATAGTCCACTTCTGGACATAGGCCTCTCCTTAGAAAGGAGGCTTTAGCCTACTGTACCATGCTGGCCAGACAGGTTTGTATAGGGTTTGGGTCAAGTTTTCCTTCTCTTTGCAGTGTTGTTGTCCTGCGTAGTTTACTCCCGTAGTCGGCTCTTACGACACCCACGGGATGAATAGGGGTGGTGACACTCCGTATTCTTAATCCGTCACCACACGGACCTCTTCCGTCCTCGTCCGATCATAATAATTTAATTTTGCAAAAAGTGCTTTCACTGTTTCCGAGAGAAAAAGGAAAATTCCTTTTTTTATGTAAAATCAAAACAATAAAAACCAGAATAAATAATAAAAAAATATCTACGTACCTCAAATCTGTGTATTTATACTTCAAATAAGCCTAAAAATAGTAAAATATCTATCAACACAATATGTTTATCAGTAGAAGACAAGATAGTAAAAAAAAACATTGTTGATTCTGATCTGATGTTGAAATTGATATCTTTGCATTAAAATTTAATGTTTAACAGGCTTTTGATGAATGTGGCTTTATTCATTCAACAATTTCAGTAAGTGTTTAATCTTAAGGAATTAATGATACCCAACATAATACAATAATCCTTATTAGAGGTTACTGAATGGCTCAATCCGTCGCCGTCGAACTGGGCGGCGGAGGCGCGCCTATCACCGCCTCATGCCGCCCTGAGTGTGGCCGCGGGTGGACGGGAATGGTTTTTCCCTCCACCCGCCATAATGGCTAGCGTGTGCCGGACTTCGCCCAAATAGAGAATATCCCGAAGGTGGTGCCCGCGCCGTTGCGGGCAGGCGCTAGGAGGGGTCCGGATGTCTGAATAACAGCAGTGCCTGGATCCCTCCTATTACAGGCGCAGAGTGGCACACCGTGTGGTTTTAGTCGGTCCGATTCCGACACACCAACCTGCCGCAAACCCCGGTGGGGTGACGGCCCGAGGGGTTTTCGACACGTAAAAAACAAAGGTTACCGAATGGCAAGCACTTCAATTATAGTTCAGGACACTACTGTACCTATACTAATACTTAGGTAAGTAATGTTGCAAAAACTACATAATCGTGGGAGAGCACGTATGAGCCAGCTCGACGAATCACATGATTCATATGACTCGGTTCGACGAATCATACGAGTTCTAAATCATAGAATCACACCTGTAACTGATTTACAAAATCATTGCGACTTAATTATCATTATTACGCTAGCGCAAGACTAAATTATTGCTATATAGATACATATAGAAATAATATAGTAATAACCAACTGAAAAAGCTTCTAAGGAAGAAATTAATAATTCTATAAGACCCTACAAGAAGCCCAAACCATGGCTAGAGAGAGCGTACTAGTAATTGGAGATTTTAATGCCAAATTATATCTATATAATATAATTTCCATGTCTACTTTTCTCCCAGTGAGGAAGATTACCGGAAATGGATGGAATTTAATTAATGTAACCACAATATCGCGTTGGAAAAACTCTGTAAAGATATTGTAAGAAAAAAAATTTAAAAAAAAAGTGTCCTTGGGAGGCCGTAGTCGTTTACCATTACCATGACCCGCCTGCTCATTCGCCCCCCTATACCGTAAAAATAATGAGTAACAAAAATGCATTTCTTAAAATCCAAATAATGGACACATCCATACATTTATTTCAATAAAAATAAATACTATTATTATTTATAATGTACATTAATTCATGCTTTGAAAAAAGCCATTGGTTTGAAATATTTAAGCACTTAACACATCACTTGTAAGCAATAAGCGATAGCAGCTTGTTTTATTTTCAATAGGTACTTAAGTTTTTTAAAGCATTTTACTCAGACGATCTCGTATATAGATACCACTAGTTCCTAGTGCACTAAACATAAAGGAGATGTAACTTTTTAACTATATTTACTAAATATGAATAATCGCTCTGTTTTGAAATATATACCTTCCCATACCCTTAAACATATCTTGTAGACCTTGTAGTTGTATTTTTCCAAGTAAGTAAGTAGATTCATAGCAAAATAATTGAATATTGAGTTAAATATGAATTTACTAGTTGAGAAGAACAGAAAATAATCTCTTCACTGCAATGACAATTTATAACTACAAGATATATATATAAGGTCCACTATCCTGTGTTTAATCATACGTAAGAATATAATCTACAAACTGTACGTAGTACATCATAATATAGGTATAATCATATGAGACGCGCGCGCCATGTTGAACGCCTCGTACATTACATACCCAATGTTTATATAAAAATTATTTTTACTTAATAAAATAGCATACGACACTATTATCAATGCTGCATAGTGAATGAATAATCTTATCTTCAATTCTGTCCTTAGAACATATTGATTATTGCTACATTTTTATATTTTTGGGAATAAGCATGTCATTGTGAGACCAGCCATTATGTAAATAATTCACATCACACCGGCATGTAGCGTTAATATCTATGTGTTAATTTATTAATATTATATGTATCGGTTAAATTTAACATCGATTTGTCGACAAATTAAGTCACATCTTTCCAATTCGAAAATAACAATGTTAACAAAACTTAGGTATATCAAAGTATAGATAAACTAGGTACTTACCTCGAACAGGAAGAAATTAATATGCTATTAAGAACTGGTTTATAACAAATTAAATAAAGATTGAATATACGAAAGCTTTTGCTTTTACACAACTTGAGTCTTGAACTGTGAAACAGTAGGCTGGTTCATCAAATTTATACCGTAAGATAACTACACTAACATGACGCGGTCCGCAAATGGCGTCCACGACGAATGCGATCGCATTGGCTGGAATTGGAAATGGCGGCCGGCACGAACTTCGGGCAACGAGTACACCTCTTTTCTATTTCGAAAGGTAACAAGTGTAACAATTATTAGTTTGACAAGGTCACTTTATCACTATCACAATATGGATCGAAATGCTTTGACTAACTAATTTATAAAAAGGGTATTCCTGATAAGTAATTTGACAATGTTGCTACCTGACTAAATAGAGTCTTGTCTATTGTTCATTAAAACCAAAAAATACAATACCATCCTATTAATTTGTACATCCTAGTAATTTGTTTAATAAAATTTAAAATGATCAGAGTGAAAGTGCAGCTACCTGATATAACTTATGACCAATTATTTAAGTATGCACTAATTCGATTTAACATTTATAATAATGCATTGCAGATCTATCGATCGATTACGCATTTGCAAAGATAAATTTATATAAAGATTTTTGAAAATAAATTATAATTTATTCTGCAAGATTAAAGTTCAAATAATAATAAAAAGCTAAATATATCACCGATCCGTAATAAAATAAAAATCTATTTGTTTTCTTGTGTTTCGGCTTAGTGATGTATATAAAGTGTATGTGTGTGTACACGCTCTAAGCAGATAGGAGCGAGACCGAAAATGTTTAACAACTTTTTTCCCATACTTCTTGCTATAGTTACAGCCTGAGAATGAAGACGTTTACAGCATTGCATACGTCTTCATTCCGAACAGGAATCCATAGACCCCTCATTCTGTTTTATATGGCTGTACAACCTTGAGCAACATTTGCTTTTTTTTTTCCATTGTCCACACGACGACGCTTGCATACCTACTCCTTTTTCAAAGCCCTAAACAAAATACTCTTATTTTAGCTTATATTTTACCGTGATTTTACTTTACCTTTTTTTTTGTGTTTTTAGACCATATTTTACCGTGATTTTACTTTACCTACTACCATCTACTTATTAGGTACCTTCTCTATTTTTATAATTTCATCTGAAATAGTAATGTGATTGTTTTTTTAAATTTCTATAAGTAGACTTCTTTCATGAGTTAAATAATTATCAACATGGTAATTAAAAACGGAGACAAGTTCAGTTTGCTCTGAAACTTGTTTTTGAATAAAAAAAATTCTATTTCATTCAGTTCATTAAAGGAAGCCTATGTCCAGCACCAAATATTCTAAAGCTGCAATGATTATGTTGATATCTATCGTACAAAAATATTTGATGAGATTCAAATACATACACACACTTTATGGCAAATATGTATATTTTTTTTCGTTGAAAAAAGTACAGTCAGTACATTGGTGGTACGCTAAACTTGTCATCGTCAATGCTATTTTCGCGTACGTATTTTTACAAATAATTGAGTTTTGTCATTTTTAGTATTGTTTAGTGCTGACAACAATTTAAATGTCCTTGTGATGATGAAATGGCCATTTTGTCTGATGGCGTTGCCAACTTAGTGAATTCGCCACTAAAACTGGTGGTTTCTAGTGTCTAGTGGATTTTTCTTGTGGTTTGGTAGTAACTAGCTGACCCTGCAAACGTTGTTTTGCTATTTACATTATTTAAAACATTTTTTTTTGCATTTCTTAAAATCCGTTCTTAGCTGACCTCTACTCGGTGAAAAGAATATTTCTACCAAATTTCAAGTCTTTAGCTCTAATGGTTCCAGAGATATCGTGATGAGTGACTATATACGTGGAAATCTCTTATATATATAATAGATAGTCAAATTATACAGGACTTAAGAAATGATGCTGAAAGACGAACCATGAGAACTATCTGTGTACGATAACCTCAAGGACCTTTAAAGGAAAGGAAAGTAAAGATGGAGATTGGACAGCAGTGCTCAGGAAGAAAAGGATTATTAGCTTTTGGCAATGGGATGATGTAGGCTTTGTGCTAGAGAGAGGGAAAGGTTCTGGAGTAGAGGGAGAAGTCAATTATGTGGGGTATACCTTAGAGGACGTAATCCAGGATAGTAACTATCATCCTACGCCTAAAGTTATCTCAACCCATTTCGTTAGAACAGACAAACACGATGATCTTTTTGATGTCGTAGATAAGAGAGTAACTCTTAATACTGCTTCGTTCCAATGCAGAATGAATGTAATTTAAAACAAGCAGAGGAATAAAACGAAATTGAATCTTTTATCTGCTATGTTAAGATAAACGCTGTGATTTGAGGTTGAAATTAAAATTTTGAAACGAATTAGAAAGTTCAGTTAACGTCCTTCAAGTTGAAAGAATCGTGTCAACTTGAAATCGACGATGTTAGTGCAGACAAAAATAATATCAGTAGAAGACGAATTAATTTAAACTCATGAACAATTTTTTTTCCTAACAACATTATTGAATAATTTTACTATAATGTGCCTGATCTTGACTTGTTGATTTACAATTTGTATGTTGATTTATTGATTGTTTGTATTGTATTAGTCCTAATAATAAAGGAAACTAATTACTAAGTTACTTATTACTTTATTTCGTACTAATAAAAAAATAGGGTTTGAGGAAAATAATTAAGAACCGTTTTTTGTTAGTGGTTGTCTGGTGGTTTTAGATGTTGATTCTAGTGGAGAGTTAATTTAACTGTTGGCAACACTTGTCATTTATTGATTCATGTCTAGTCGATAGAAAACTATATACTAGTCAGAGACTAAAGCACTATTTCGACAAGAAAACTTTTTTCAAATAGTTTTATGTTATCAAGCTGTAGTATGTCCTAGCATTAAACCAATGCTCCAAGTTATATGTACATATTATTTAAAAAAACTAAGTCACCGTTACTGACGGCATCTTCATCTCGAAACGTTTTCGACAGAAGTTTATGAGTGTGTTTATGACTAAAGTCGGAGTGCTTGTGGGTAAATAGCTATTAATATGTTTTTGGATATTTTTAAGGAGTTACAAAAAAGGACGAACTTTTTAAGAGTATATGTCGATATTGATTATATTAGAAGTGTCCCCATGTAGTTTTGAATACCTAAATATTAATATATGAATGAATAAATAATGCTGGGTATCGTTTATCCCTTCACGAAATATAAAATTGCGTCAATTTCCTAACGAGTTCAGCAGTGGTCAACACTAATATTACTCTGTGACTAATATGGATTAACCAATGTGTATGTAATATTATTGTTATTATTTTTAACATAAATATTTTTATTACAGATGATTAGTAAGCATATGAATAGTCAAATAAGCGTGAAGACTCCATCATTCATTCATTGTTTAGAAATTACATTGATTACTTCAAGCATATAGATTATAATTTGAAAAGTAACATAAAAAAACACTCATTTTATCGTTTTGTGCTTAATTTTTTTGTGTCAAATAAATTCATCTACGAAAATGAATAATAACATAACACAAAATACAAATTATAACCTAATCAAAAAAGATTCAGAGCTGCAATTGGCACTTATTGATAAATATGTTAAAATACAAATAATAAAGAACTGCTGTCATACGGGATTTGTCCACTCCGTGGATCCAGTAACGCACAGGTAACAAACCAAAAACATAAAAAATCCCGAAACTTTAGATCTTTACGTAACTTTTAAAGTAAAATTATTTATTACACTGCTGCTACAGTAGAATTCATTATTGTAGGCCATATTCACTGATGATTGCCCTTCTCTAACTGGGACCTAGATTGTGAAAAATCTTAAGAGATGATGACAATAATGAGATACTATCACCGCTTTATTAAAATTTTATTGTTTTGTTGATTTATTATTATTAAAATTCATTTTTGACTTCAGTCAATTGCCATTATTAATTATTTTTTTAATTGGTCTGCTTTTCTCCATGTATATAACTCATTTGTCTCGTTTTGACTCATAGAACATTGCTTGACTTATAGACAATTGCTGTGGTTAATTATGAGCACCATTGATATCTCTATTCTGTAACGTGTTATCCTTCTCTGTTTTGTAATGTTGTCCCAACTAACACACATTGTTATACCAGTAAATTAGAGACACTTGTTAAACAAAATAGGAAAATATGGGGAATTATTAAGAATGAACTGGTACTTTCAGTATCACCATGGTATAAGATTATAATAACCTGTCTCTTTCCAACACTAAGTTATTGGAATATCATTGTGCATGTTGGCTTGTATCTTTTTATTTATGCCCATTTTTTAAGATGTAACTTCAACAACCTCACTCATCTCTTTTTTTAACTCCCCATGGAAAAAGAGGGCTTTTATAAGTTTAACCTGTGTATCTCTGTATCTTATTATTTGTCTCTGGCCCTCATAGCTCCTGAATGGATGGACTAATTTTGATTCGGATTTTTGTTCAAAATCCGATGTGATCGCGATGGTTCTTAGCTATAAATTTTGAAGATCATCAGCTCACTTCCTAGGTGATGAAGGGATCTCTCTAAAATCCACAGGTCTGATATATCTGAAATTTGATATACTGTTTACATGTAATACTTTGATGGTATTTACATGACATGGTAACCTGGAACTTGCTGTTGCATCAAGTAGTCTACTCTACTCTACTCTAGAAAATTACAGCATATTTACCGTGTCTGAGCTTATTAGAGCAGTGTTAATGAGCAGTTGTTAATTGCATGGGGGGTTTTAATGATGCTATTATTTACCAGGTGTTAAAGGCCACGAAAATATTTTGAACAATACTTTTCTTTCAGCATTATCTTATTAATACCTCAAGGAGATACATATAAAACTACCATAATTCCTGGTCATGCTATTTTGGATGTAACTGAAGAGGTTTTACCAGCCGACATAAAACCCCCACAGCGTAAGCAATTGGAAGCTGATTCTGGAGAAGATCTACTAAAGAGAAAAAAGAAACTCATTGCATGGTTTAAGTTAAATTTGCTGCCAGTATCAGAACAAGATGATGCAATTATTATTGGCAATGTCAATTTGCTTCCCCCTTACAAAAGTTTAGATTTATGTACAGATAACCCTATAGTAGCCATGCAAATTAAAAAAATATTGGAGAGAATGCCAGAAGATATGGTTACAGTTTAACTCAATTAATCACACTCAATACTTTTTTTTACAAAATATGTGGTGTCTCAATTGAGATTAGTGAAAAGATTATAAAGATGAGCCAACTTTGGATTTCATAGAACATAATGCATGGGTATTATAAGATGTTAACGATAAGGTGATGAGTATCTTAGGGTAAAAGTGCAGAGGAACTGCCAACATTAAGTTTTCAAAATCTTTTAATTTACTAATTCATGAATATCTGTCAAATAATTTGATGACCAAACTTTTTGCCGAATAGACCACTTTCTCATATTTTTGTTTGTTAAGTAAATTTATTTTTAAACATCTTGGGATATTTATTTCACATAATTTTATGAAATGTAAAGACAAGAAATTTACATTCTTATTAAATGTGTAGTTCTGGTATAACGTCATCTATTGTGAGTCTTGTTTTTTAAGATCATTTACCTCATTCAATAACTCATAATCATATTTTGTACCTTTAGTGGGCAAATAAACATTTAAATATTTTTTTGCTTGTGTCTTAGCTATTGAAATTATATACCACAAAACACATTTTTCTATTATTTATTAGCATTTTTTGGGATAACACTACAATGTATTAATTTACATGGTTTTCTTTGTCATAAATACATTTTATCACTGAAGTTGCAATAACTTTTGGTACAGTTAACCAACAGTATTATTTGAGGATATGTTAAAAGACCTTTTTGATAAATTTCTTTTATAAGGTTAACTTAGTAGGTACTTTAAGGAGTGATATATAAACAAACCATTTAATGGCCAGACTTTCTTGATAGGATGATGAGATTTCTAAAAATGATAGCAGATTATATATATATGTATATATGTGTGTTTCAAAATAATTTGAAAGTAACATTTTGAGACAAATCAAAAATAGTAATTTTAGGTTTCCATTATATTACACATACATACATATTTCCATTTATATTAGTTCTAGGTACTAATAAATCAGTTACCCATGTAGGTACTTATCCACCAATGCCCTCATCACTGTCTGTTTATTGCTATTGGGTCTATTACTGGTTTATTTTAATATTAACTTGATTCATGATCTCTATCGTTGACGGCAGCGGCGGCCGCGTTAGGCGTTGCGATTGGTGAAGAGTTCAGTGTGGGTACCCCAGCTAAAACATATTGCTGTTTTTATAAGAGAATGACAAAAATATTATAAAATAAAAATTGTTTATTGTAACATAACTTACTAACATTAGTATTAAAGTTAGGCATAGACTTTGGATAGTTATTATATAATTATGTACTGATACTGACTCCCAAACTAGGCCGACAGCCTGTATCTAGTGATTGATGTACGTAGGAATTTTAGCAAACGGAAGACCTAGTGTGGCAATCAGGTAATGCTACTGGCCTGCACTGAAATCTTCACCAATTGCGACGCCGAACTCGGTCACCGTGTCGATCAAGTTGATACGAAATAAACTCACACATGGCCCTAACTATAAAACTGCTGAAATACCTATGATTACAATTATTAAAGATTATAGGAATGTGCCGTTAAATAAAAGAGGAATGACGCCGTAAGGTAAGGCTAGATGAATATTTTCTATCGAATACTGGTTTCCGTTTTCAAAAACCAAATTAGTTAACGATTTTGTCGTATTTTAATTGAATTAAATAAGAACATCATGTTCTGTACTTAGATTATTAAAAGGTTCTTAATTTCATGTCTCTTGAAAATAATTACTCATCGGAAACGATTCGAATTGGTAGTATAGATGATGATTTCAATCCAACACAAATGAAATTATGTTGTACCTACCAATATTTTTGTAACATTTAGCCCAGGGTGGAATGCTATAGTCCCACATGCCACCGATAGGTGGTATCCGAGGGGATTTCCGCACGGAAAAAAAAAGGGTGGAATGCTATTAACTGTAAGCATAAGGCGTATGCCGCTCCTCGAGTATGTCCCGATAGATAACATATATGCCGTCATTTCGGGAATTTGCCGATTATTTTATCATACACTCATTCTCCAGTTGAATGAGCGCAACCTATAAATCGATTTGTACAATCAGTCACTTGGCCATATCGACATACGGCTAGGCCTATCATGATATAGTTTCGTATCGTGACCCCTTGGTTCCATGAGATGTCTAGGTTACATGATAATGGTATCACAAGACTGAAAAAGTACCCTGCGTTTTCTCTACCATAATAATAACGTATATGGGGTGAGGCACGAAATTTGAAAGGTAACAGACAGTTAAAGCATTTATAGAATCGATAGTTAAAAGTAAATTATTAAATTATAGGTATATAAATACATACTCTTGGTTTCTAGAGGTTTAGATTTCATGAAAAAGATATGTTGATCGTTCTAACAGAAGTCTGTTTACTAAGGAAGATATTGATTTTGGCTTTCGGTTTAGAAAGGTAGTATCACAAGTACCTTTTCTACTTGTAAACGTGGTAACACTGAATACACACAGGCAACATTACAGTCCATTGTTGCAAACTTTGTTTAATAATAAATTCGGCTGACTTGCTTGTACGTTATTGTAGTAGATACTGAAGTTCCCGTCATCGTCATGATTATAGCTAGTTTCAACGCAGTCGCGCTTATCGTTCGCGACAAAACGTTAACCTTTACGCGGACACACAAGTGCATTACGAATAGTGAGTGTTCTCTAAAGATAGATAACAACAATTGTACCTTTTGTTTCATAATCTACGAAAAAATAATGATGATATTTTAGTGATATAAATATATAATGCATAGTTGAAATGTCCAATAAAACGAATCGGAAAGTACAATACTTGTCGGGAGTTTGCGGTAAGTAATTGTTCGATAAATTTAGCGGGAAATATAAAAACTTTGTTGATCATCCTATTTGTTTTTAAATTCAGCGGCGTACGTATTTACGTTCACCGGAGCAACTTTGGGGTGGTCGTCACCCGCAATACCCAAGTTTCTAAATGGCGAGGCGAATGTGGCAATTACATCGGTAAGGGTTTTCGTTTTTCAGTAAATATCAATATTTTAGTACATGTCCGGAAGAATCAAACATTTCTTGTCTAAGATATTTACCTACAATTCCACACCTCTAATATTTTCATCTCTATTTCTGAGCTCACACACACTCTCGTGAACATTTTTGCTTAAATTGATATTATTAAACACGCCCGACAACCCACATTTATATTTGAATTAGGCTAAACTAGACGGGCATTTCAACTACTCTTAGTTTTGATATTCTATAACGTTTCTTTCCAATTTCTTTCATAAAACGTTTTATTCCTATAAACTATGAAGTCACATTAAATTATGAAGTCACATAATTTTTTTGCAGTCTGAAATTCAGTTGTATGAATTTACTTTCTAATGTTATCATATCCTTAAAATTTAATTACTTTTTGGCAGTCTATCTTTAGCTGGGATATACATCTATTAGATAAATTACTAAGAAAACAATCAGAAGGCCAATTCTCTTAAAAAAAGTTCAGTCGCAATTCAGTTTCAATCAACCTTCGATCTCACAACTGACATAAAAGGTATTTTCGTAGTAAATTATTAAGCATCTAACATTGACTGTAGTGTGATTATATCGTATTGTAACCGAAAACCGAATCTGTAATCTGCTAGTTTTATTAATACTTTACTATTTTACTATAAAAATACCTCTTATGACAGTTGTGAGATCGAGAGTTGATCGGAACTGAATTGTTACCGAACAAAAGTGATCGCATTTTTACACAATTCTCTCGATCAGGTTAAAACAAGTTCGGGAGCTTTAAATTAAATAACTATTTTATTCACTTTCATCATCATCAACAGCCTTTAATAGTCCACTGCTGGACATAAGCCTCTCCTTAGAAAGGAGGTTTTGGCCTACTATACCACGCTGGCCAGACGGGTTGGTATAGGGTTTGTGTCAAGTTTTCCTTCTCTGTGCAGTGTTGTTGTTCTGCGTAGTTTTTTCCCTTAGTTGACTCTTACAACACCCACGGGATGAATAGGGGTGGTGACAATCTGTATTCTTAATCCGTCACCACACGTCCGTCACTTTATAGATGGAATAAAAGCAGATACCAAATTATTTTTCTAGATTCAAGAATAAATGCATCAAAAAATGCTAATGACGATTTTATTTGAGAGCATGGGCTCTCAAATAAAATCATTAGCGTCATTAGCAACATCGTTAAATTTGCTTCTCTGCATCTTTTCACAGAATTCTTTAAATGCAATAAATACAAGCATTAATTGACATCAATTTTTTTCTACCCTGCTTTGCCCTATTTTATCAAATTTTTCCTTTTTTACATTATTGCAAACGGAGGAACCGTTTCACTGTTTTTTTCATTATAAGTAAATATTTTTCTTTTCCTTTTAATTTTATTTCCGAAATGTAATAAATTTGATATGACATGCGATAATTATTCTGTCTCCAGAATTTAGTGTTTGTGGCGGGATGCGAAAAATTTGTTAATGGCGACGCTTTTAGATAAAAAATCTGATTTTATCGCAATGTCAATATTATCTAAAAACTTTTGCAAAGTATCTTTACATCGTATCCCTTTGATTAGAAGTCGAAAGTTTTATTGAAATGTATTTTTAGTAGGTTACAGTTACAACTGCTAATTCAATTCAAGACTCCTGTTATAAAAAGTTTTTTTTTATCTGACACATTTTCATAATTAGCTGTGCTGTGATTTAGTACGAGTAGAATCCGATATCGAAGTGTCATTTGACACTAAAAATCATATTCAGCACTTTATTTAAAACTATCATCATCACCATTAATACATTATCATCTAGTTAAAGTTAAAATGAGACGGATGATGTTACCGACAGTTAGTAGACATGCTTGCATAAATGTCAGAGACACGCTATATATGTATATATTCATATCTATGCAATTTTTGCACGCAACATTACAAATCAATTAGTAATACGGCAACCACATGAAGGGCTGCCGTCCTTTTTGCAAGCACAAAAAATTAAATGTAAAATACTGGATGGACCGACTACGACTACGACGTGATTAACAACCACCCTGGGCTCTAGGTACGTCGGAGGCCGTCGCCAACTGCATATTGGCTTTCAGCGTTTACAACCCCCGAGTAACAAAATTGGACTGAATACAAGTTATCATTAGCTGCGAATATGTAATAACTATTCCTGTATCATCATATAAAGGCTAAGTAGGTAGTTCTGTACTCTCTGTTTACACTGTTATATTAAGTGTAATAAGGTTTAATTAACACTTTTTCAAAGTAGCACTTAGGGCTCTCTCAGCTCTTTCTGAAATTACATTCAATTTGAAAATTTGAATTTGGAACCATAAACAAATCATTCATTCCCGAAACTTTTTTGACTGAATGTTTGAGTATTCTTCCAGTCAAGCTTTCACAGTACAAGCTCTGCTTAGTTTGAAACTAGATGGCGTTGTGTGTTAGATGTCCAAAAATATTAAACAAACAAATAAAACAAACAGATTGATATTAAACGTTCATGGGCTGTATCCTGACGATGTTTCGGCATCCCTTAAGCCAGTAGGTATTGCTTCAAAAAATACTTGAAATGCCGACCGACCGACTTCTTGTTAAAAAAAACTATTTGTGACTTAAGTGAAAGGAAAATTTCAATTTCAGTGATAATGAACTATTCATTTGAATAATATGAATACCCATACGCGTATGGGTTACGTATACGTTCTGGTTTAAATAATTGTGGTCCGCTTGACAAGTGATGCCGGGTTGAATTTCTGTGTTCGGTCCACATAGTCATTAAAAATAATCTATAATGTAACAGAATTATGTATAAGTAGTGTTTGTTGAACATACTTATTCATTTTATCAAATTGTTGAACAGACAGAGACATCATGGGTGGTATCCCTGCATTCCGCGGGGGCATTGCTTGGGTGCTACATTGGTAAAGTGCTCAACGAGAATGTGGGCCGACGACGCACGTTAACTGGCTCAGCTGTACCAGCCGTGTTAGGTGCGGTATGTTGATTAGATGGAAATTTTTATTACGATATTATACAATTAGTACCTACTCTACTTGGTAATATGTTTTTTTAACAATTAAAAGATGATCATGATTTATGATTGAGCATTGGTAAGGATCACGCTCAATAATTTAACGTTCAACCATTAATCAACGAAATTTTGAATACACGTCGAGAGTAAAGGACATGAGTATTTTTCATATCTTTAAAGTACTAGTAGGTACTTTTTTACTTTAATCTTAAGAGTAAAAGATAAAAATGTAAAGAGTCGTAAGGTCTGTAGGTACAGCATTCGTTTTGATCTGAATTATCAAAAAGAAAACGAATTCTCTGCTTTTAAAATCATCGACCATTGTAATATTATACTTTTTGATAAATTAAAATTGCACCGTTTTTCTTCAGATGAATAATGATACGGCAACAGTTACTGATAAAATGTATGTAAATGAGCGAATAAACGTTCCAATAATATGAATTATTTGCGTTTACTTCGTGCCATCTGATGATAACCAGAAATAAGAGATTGCGTTTACAAATGTTAGTGAAGGGACATATTTATTTATTTTAATAAGCTATTTATTAAATTCATCTTTTTCAGAGTATAATGATTATGACAGTTACACCTTGGTTGATGTGTATTGCGAGGTTTCTAATGGGATCTGCTACCGGTATTATAGCTGTGGTACGTTTTAATAATGTATAACTTATAGCTCTAATTAAATGAAGCAATGAAGTAGGGAGTTAGGTACACCGGTGCTGTGAGGAATTTTAGAAACAAACAAATTTTCGAAACAGCTATTTGTAAATCTCACAAATAATAGTCCCACGTGGAGATCAAAGTCACTAAGTTTAAATCTGCGGCGAGGAGACTATTTTAAAGGAAGATCTGTTCTTGTAGCTTAGTAAAATAATAAAAGGTGACGGTTTATGTCACCAAAAATATCATGAACATTATATTTAACATTTCATTTTCAATTCTTTCTTTTATTTTAAATGAATATGAATATGCGTCATTTTGACATTTACTCGAAAATAACTAGACAAGCTCGCCACAGACGAAAACCGGATACTAAAATTGATTAATTACCCACTACTTATTTGATTCGATAGATCATTTTTACCTTAGCCTATTTTCTCATATGAAATTAGCTGTCTCACCCACAAAAACTGCCCTTAAAAAGCTTTCTGTGTGTCTTTCTATGTGATTTTAAGGTGACATTGATCGGCTTTTATTTGTAATGGGCGAACATCAAAGAGTATTAATGGATAGCACATAGATGGTGTTAGTAAACACAGTACGTTATTTTTCAGGTTACAATGATATACGTAACAGAAATATCCGATAAAGAAATAAGAGGGTCTTTAGGAATGACTATTCAAGTGATGAACAATTTGGGCACTCTTACTGTGTACAGCATTGGGCCTTTTGTCTCCTACACTGCCCTTAACGCGATAATACTCTCAATACCAATATCTTACGCAATACTGTGTTCTTGGATACCCGAATCTCCTTATTATCACTTAAAGGATGGAAGAATTGAAGCCGCGAAAAAAGTGTTCTTAAAGCTAAAAGGCACTACAGATGAAAAGGTATCTTTTATTATATAAGCTTATTTATAGGCATGTCGTAGGCATTACGTCCGCCATTGCACCAAATGTGCATATGTGTAAAAATAAATAAAGTAATTGCTTTTGATGTACAGCAGCTGTCATTAGCAGCGCTTAATTAATGATCTACCTGTTAATTTGGTTTCTGACTGGCCCTCAATGATTGTAACCAATATTGATAGCATTAAAAAAAATTAAGAATCAACCCGCCTGGTCACGAAAGAACATCGTGCCAAAGCGGGCTGATTCTTATTTTATGGTAAAGGAGGGCAAATGAATAGACGGGTCACCTGATGGTAAGTAACTGCACGGATGGCGTAGTGGTTTAAGCGGTCACCACGCCGCTTCCTACTGCGCCGAGTGTTGTGGGTTCAAACCCCACATGGGACGACACTTTATGTGATCCACAAATTGTTGTTCTGAGTCTGGGTGTTCTTTGTGTCCGTTTCATGTATGTTTGTAAAGTCCCCCGCGACACAGGATTTATTCCTAATGCGGGAGTTGTCTTTAAAAAAAAAAAAAAAACTACCGCCGCAAAAGTCACAAGTGAGTTGCCACCCGTTGAATCCTTCCCCAGAATCAGGGGAAAGGTCGCACTCGGTGAAAAGCAACGAAAGTACTGCTAAACACCGGTTTCTGTGAGCGAATGGCTTTACAACGTATGAATAATAATATTATAATCACTAGAACCAGAGGGCCTAGTGTGAATGTATTTCGCACCAACTCGCTCTGGACGGCGATCGCGTTTGGTGTTGTGATTGGTGAAGATTTCAGTGCAGGCCAATCACAGACTGTCCAGTTGCGGGTTAGCAGAATGGTGATTTGAATATTGGGGAAAACTTTGTAAAAAGACGATTAACTCGTATCATGCGGTAACAGTCGGAAATTCCTAGATCTTTTAGTTGGTTTATCCGTGATCTCGGTTTTTTTCAGGGATCTCTTATTTTTTTATGAAATGCACTCATTTTATATAATACATAATTAGACCAGTAATTCTTGAAGTGGTTTTGGGTCTGTTAACAATCTGACGATTTTCCCACTGAGTGTTACATATTGCGTTTCAGTTGATAGAAGAAGAGATGAGCGCAATACGAATACATGTAAGAGAAAGTATGGAGAATAAAACAACGTTCAAGGAATTAGTGACCAATATAAAGTATAGAAAAGCCATATACATAGTGTTAGGTAAGTTTTCCCATGTGAGCATTACAGAGCATAGCCTGAAATTGGACATCAGGGCTACACGAGGAACATCTTCTTCTTCTTAAAGAATCTGCTTAGACAGGTCTCTTGGTCTAGTGGTTAGTGACCCTGACTGCACTCCTGGAGGTCGTGGGTTCGATTCCCACCCAGGACAGATAATTGTGTGATGAGCAAGATCTTTTGTTCTGTTGTCTGGTGTACTTTATCTATAATATGTATTTAGATATATATAAGTATGTTTATCAGCAATCTGGTTACTACAGTACAGGTTCTGCCTAGTGCGGGATGAGACTACCGTGTGTAAGATGTATCAAGTAATTAATATAATTATTATTAAATTGATTTCCGTTGCATTATTTTGCAAGTTGATACAGGCTACTCCGGCGGTGGAAGGGAAAAGGGAGTTCTCGGGAAGTACTTTGTTAATTTATAGCCAAGCTTACGCAAATTGTCCAAAAAGAGCTGGGACACTAAAGAGCTAGACCAAATTTCCTCCATTACTCACAGGTGACAACGATGTATATATATAATAACTACTATACTTACATAATTATCTACTAAATTTACAACTATATTTACATAATTATCACAATACTCTTAAGTTGTAAATACAAAATTTGTTTGATCAGGTACAATGAGATCTTACGTTCGTTTTATGATTGTTTTATATTGCACCTATAATGTAGCTGATAATATTGTAAGACCCAACATAATTCAATGACCGACATTTTATATCTATACGAGGACACGTATTCTGTTATCAGTGGAATTTGTATGTCGAAATTCAACGGTTACCTGTGTGTTAATAAATGTACTAGACCGGAAGATATGCTAGTGAGTATTAACTAAGATGATGATGTAGGTATGTGATATACCTATGACATTACAGTAGGGATTATAAGTTTATCGAAAGTACGTACAAGGAAGTTTGAAGTACCTATCTATACAAGATAACTACGTTAGGAACATATCTTTTTTACAATTTTGTCAGTTAACATTTTGGTCAAGCGTGAGTTATCTATAAAAATTATAATATTGGATAATATTCATTGACAAACTAAGCTGTATATTTGGGCAAAACATACTTATTCTAGATAATTTTTCACACTCATTTGTTTAGAGTTCTCAGGATTAGATTTTCTTAAGTGGTTATTTAGAACTGATTCAAATGTGCTAACATTGTGCTTTAGTTTGTCATGCTAAACTACAGGAAACTGCTGCATAGGATGACTATTTATTGACAAAAAATGTAGATATCCACATAAAATACATGCACCTACCATATTTTTTGTTGTCATTAATATTTTTTCTTTTTGTCAAATGTTCTTGAATTGCAGGGTTAAAATTGTTGCAGTACATGACGGGAATTCTGGTGATACAGTCATACTTAGAGGTGATATTTAGACAAACTAGTTTCATTTCGGGACCAATCTGTAGTATCGTGTATGGATTTGTACAACTGGCAGCAGGTAACTACATATAAGTACATTTGCTTTTTATTGCATTTAAGTATTTCCTTTTATTGATAAATTTCGAGGCTTTTAATGGTACCTTATTAAAAATAGAATTTAGATCTCTAAATGATTTTATTATCCGTATTTAGCATGGAGTACGCCGACCATTAATACGACTGAAAATATCAGACGTTCCAAAAATATTAGTATTTAATGACATGATCTAAACGTGTCTTCAAGTATGTAGGTACCTACCCATATATTATACTATACCTATATATAATCATATATTAATTACACAGCTGCCTACCTGATAGCAATCAGTAAATACTTATTTATAAATAGTTAGCGTACTTTGTACATTGACTTATTTACACAAATATTGACTCTCAAATTCTTAACTGAAAATAAAATATTTATCATATTTTTACAAAAATTGGCTTATCGTTGACTTTCACTTCTTACGTATAACAAAATGGAGCAAGTACTGTTTATTCTAAAACAATATGTACAAATATGTGTAAGAGAAAATTACTGTGGATGTGTTGACGTTCCTTATCTTTGAACCGCGGAGGACCTTACAAAGACATATGTTTGTGTGGGTACATAATATTATTAACTGCTAAATATTACATTCCAGGAATATGCGCGACGTTTCTCACAAGGTGGGTTGGGCGTCGAACCCTCATGTTCACATCCTGCCTCGGCGTATCTGTCGCCATGACTTTAGTCGGCCTCTACTTCTACCTACGAGACGCGGTTCACGTTACCCCGGAGACATTGCAAGCGATAAGCTGGTTACCTGTAACTGGTATCGTTGCTTTTAATATTTTATACGCCAATGGTATTGGAAATTTACCGTACGTGATGCAAGCAGAACTTTTTCCAGTAAACGTCAAAGGAATAGCGTCCAGTTCCGCCACCATGTTGGCCTGCATACTCGGTTTCATCGTGACCAAATGTTACCAACAAGTGAAAGATGCATTCGGCGATCACGTCGTATTCTGGTTTTTCGCCTTAGTAGGCTATACGGGCCTATTTTTCATATATTTCTTTGTGCCGGAAACGAAAAGCAAAACTTTAGAAGAGGTTCAAGATGATGTACAAAATCGCCTAGAAGAAGAAGCATTCAGTAGCGCAATGGAGAGAGAAGAAATTAAATCGTTAAGCTGATGATGGTATTTTTTAAAGGTCTCTAGTTCAAAATTTCCCTGCATTGCAATGCTTTATCCAAACAGCCTCCTTTTTCCAAACATGCTCATTCGAGTGGATGCCGGCATCGTGCGTTGATAACTAAGTGATAGAAATATTATGAAAAAAGTATTCTTTAAAAATTACTGCACTGAACAGTTGATATGTAAATACTCGTACATACAAACGCGCCATGCTGCCTGGTAATGATTTGCCCCTTTTCAATTTAGTTGGATTGTACTGCTTTCATAAAGATGTAGTAGTAAAACAAAATATAGGCACCTAGTAAGTTGAATAAATGTTAAACTTCTCTGTTAGTAAGTTGAATAAATGTTAAACTTCTCTGTTGTAGGTAAAGAAAGATTTTTTTTCTAACACAACTACTTAGTTACAAAACCTAGGTGCGATGGCGCCTGACGGATGATGCAAACTCAAATACATCTGAATGGAATGATGATGATATGGAAACGTTTAATCTAATACGCACAAACTCTAAATCATAAATAACGCTTAGTGTCTTTGACGCTCATCTTAATCTTCAACCCTTGTTCCAAATAAAAGGAAAACGATGCCATCAAAATATTTAAAATGTCTGTTGCTCTGCCTGTTACACAGTAACTTGTAGCAAATGTAAACATAGAAACACATCTGTGTGTTTATCTGTGAGCTTAATAAATAAATATTTTTGTAGCTTACTTCATTTTCATCACTTTAACCACCAATTTAGAATTAGAAATCTGCAGCATTTATTAGTAAGTATAAATGAGCACGAGTGTGGTGATAAGTGAGTGACTGGCAGCAAAGCAGCCTTTCCTATCGGTTGACACGAATGTTGACTGATACCTGTCATTTAAACCTAGGAGTCAACTGTATTGTTGAATTACATTCTGTACTCCTATTTTACCATTAACCATCAAAAAAACTTATACTACGTGTAATCTTCAGTTGCTTAAGTAACTATGAGAAAAGCGTATAGTCCGTTTAAATTATGCGTGAGGTACCTAGTTAATTGAGACAGGTGAATCTGTAGCATTTAGTAGCTAGCAACTTATTTTTTCTATCTACCTGCCTAAATACATTTTCTCTGATTTAAAATTAATGCGGTGTGTCTACCCTCATTACAGTGGTTTTGGTGGTATGTAGGTATAAGCAGATAAAGGTCTAAAAATACACTAGATACACATAGAGCTCGACCTTTAGGCCGAAAATTCGGTTGAAAAAACCAGTTTCGGCCGAACACTAAAGTACCTGTAATATTCCCTGTAACCTGTATAATTATTATGCGTCATTGTCAAGTCAGCTTATACGATTGCCATCGTCGTCTGCCCATTAACGATTCATTTACATAATGTTCAACGCATAGCGCTTAAAACAGACTGCAGAGGTCAAACTAATTCTTTAACTTCTATTAGACCATTTCATCTTAACTTACCTTAAATATGTAATGAAAATGTAACGGGATCGAACTTCAGGACAGCTCAATCGCAATATTTAAAACAATCATTCAGATTTTTCATCTACAATATTGAGCTTTATAACATAATATGTAACACGACTAAATTATAGCATTACAAAAGCTAACCTTTTGTAATGCTATAATTTAGTTTAAGGGGAATGTCATTAATTAAATAACAATACACAAATTGAGAATAAAAACTGTATTCAACTGAATAAAATATGAAATACATACCGATTACTAGAAACTTATTATTCTGGCAACTTGTGAAGATTACCGTTCAATCAAAGATACAATGTAAATAGATAAATCAGAACGCCAATATGCTATACCGTGAACGGTAAAGAAAAGATTTAGTCTAAATTCTCTTGGAGTTGCCGTAAGAATAGAGTGGAGCAAATGGTGTGTCGGCCGGCTCGTCGCCACTTTCTTCAGACGCGTCCGACTCGAACGTGTTGTCCGGAATGTCATACAAACGGATCAGAGGCTTGTTGGGGTCTTTCATAATCAAGTATTTGCCTGAAAGCATTACATTTTACAGGTGAATATTCTGAAGAACAATTGCATTATTGTTCAATGTTAAAACAATTAAGAAGTGCGAAACTAGCACTTAGAGACAGGCCTGAAATCTATTTATCTGTCTATTTTACCTAAGCGATAAAATTTGAGGCCTTTTAATACCCGTCTAAAATAAAACTGATCCAAAGTGCACGTAGGAAATAACGGCGGTATGGATTATCTCAAGATAACGATGCTGGTAAGTGTTATCTAAGTTGTTGTGTGTAGGTTGATGCTTGTAAAAGTAGTAACACAGTCATCTATAAATATTAACAAAGAAAGCTGTATTAATCCTATCGTGGTCGCGTGATCACCTTATCTACTAGCCAGCCACAACACACACACAACTCTCCTCAGAGGGCCTAGTGCGAGTTTATTTTACTTCTACTCGATCGTCACGGTGACCACGTTCGGCGCTGTGATTGGTGTAGAGTTCAGCGCGGACCAATCGCAACGACGAACGCGCTCGCTATTGAAAGCGAGTTCATGTGAAATAAAGTCGCACTTGGCCCACTGAAAACAATCCTGACACGGTAATACTATGTTCTGCAATCAAGAACAATATGAATAAAATATTTACCATCCTTTTGCTTCATGCAAATATCGATGATACAGCGTAGGATACCCCAGGCATTGTCCATAGACAAGTTGATCTGCGCCGCGAACTCGTGCGGCTTGAACTGCTGCGTTCCGAGGATGACGTGACGGGAGTTGTCGCGGACTTGCGTGCGGGACACGTACCCGAACTTGATCTGGTCCGAGCCGGCCAACAGCGCCTGAGAGTGTGGGCATATATACATGTAAACATATCGTTGTCTGGTTTTTAAAATTAATCATTTTATTTGTTCAACAATATCACGAAATATTTGTATTTCACAAAATGGTCACATCATGATATGGGCTGGTCAGATCAATTAAAGTTTAGTTGTTGAACAACTAAACTTTAATTGACTTCAAACTTTGATTATTTTTGAACTAACATACTTTGCTCTACCCTACCTGAAACAGTGCCCTACCCACGTAAAATAGTTACATTATCTACAGTTAGAAGCGTTGACCATGGCTGTGCCCAATTTCGTATGAGATTTTTATTTTAAGATCTGATAATGAATATGCTGCTAAATTATCCACTCAGCAGAAGACGAGCGTTTAACTGCTCTTTCCACTGTTTTATGCTTAGGAGAAAAATCGATAGGGGTAATGGTGAGATTATCGCACAGAAAAAAAGAAAGAGGTAACGGCGAAGGGGAAGATTTTTTTTTCATTAAATGTTCTAGAATACTTATGTATTATGTTAGTCCAAATATACATAACTTTTACCCATGTTTTAATAAAATAAATAATTCTCGTACCTGGACGGTCCACTTAGCGAGCTTGCACGAGTTATTCCTGAGTTCGTTAGCAAGTACAGCACCGCGCTGCGTGTCCAGTTTCTGGCGCCACTCCACTCCATTGGCGAGTTTAGAATCCCACTCGTTCAGTGCCTTGATGCTAAGGAACTGGGTCTCATTTTGAGGACCCTGCATTACTGCATCGTGTTCGCATCGAGCTACCAGCACCTAAGAATAATTTGACAGGTTATTTCTGAGATGATTAACAAATTGTAACATGTTTGATTCGTATAGCCGAGCTAAAGAGTGATGTTATCTTGAGCTTACTGTGACAAATTTTAGGAAAAAGATTAATGTTAGATACAACATTTTGATTAGTTTCAGGGAGAAGATATAATATGAGTTGTCTAATATATTTTTATTTGTCATTATTTATTAATTTGCTGATCAAAGGTGTACAACGGTGTTACATTTTTATTTGACATGTCCTCTTTGGTCTACCTTAATGGCATCGGTTAAAATCAATAAAGGCAATTGATCTTAAAATAATAATAATTACATTCTTAATAAATATATGAAACAAAAATAACAATATAAAATATCAAAATGTTACAATTCTACTTTAAAAACTACTACTTAAATAACTTTATTTAATTAAGTAACAATATTACAAGATCATCTCAACTAGTAATAACGCAATAATATTCTTATTTTCCTGAGAGAAAGTTACTTATTAGCATATCATTATAGCATAGCATTTCTTTACTAAAAAGTCATGTAGACGCTTCTTTAATATATTAATATTTAACTTTTAAATTCATGAGGTATCCTGTTATATTTGACTGGCGCCATGCAGACAATGCAATAAAGCTGTATTTGCTTTATGTATGTGAAGTCTATCGCCTGTATTTGTTCTTCTACTTCGTGTAACAGTGTCTGCCAAAGTCTCGAATACGGGATTTAATTTAATAAAAGTTGCTGTTGCAAATTTATATAAAGAACTACTATTTAAACTAGACATGACTCAAATACATCTATTTTTACGGCTTTAAAAACTGCATCCGTCTAGCATCTGGAGTTGCCCCAAAATATTATTCTAAACAAAAAGACACCTCTGTGGTTTGTTTCGGCGTTTCTTCAAAGAGTGAGTCTGAGTAAAGTCCGACTTGTAAAAATATTTGAAAAGATTTACTTACAGAAATAAATATCATTACATTTCATTTCATCGTTGCATCATTATTTAAGACTAGTGTAAGTTTGAATAGAGACACATGCTGAACTACTGATTTTATTACATGAAGCCTCTGTGTGTAAATCTATCATCATCATCTTTTGATCAACGCACGAAAATAAATGAAAACGTTTAAATTTTTTTTCAAATTTCCCATACCAGGCGATAGTTTTATGTTCAGGCAATCATAGTCAAGTAAGGTAAGGTTATAGTAAGATTTATAAATGGACATTATGAAAAGAAACAAAAGATACGTTTTTTTTGTTTCTTTTCATAAACATAAGGTAAACCTTTGATTTTATCGTTATTTCCATTGCATAATTCAATAGAAGATTTCGTAAATGATAATCGTCGATGAGAGATTATCATCCCCCCTTTTGGAGAGGATGCTTAAAAATAAAAGTGTTTAACTTACAACACCATTGTTCAGGTTCCATTTGCGGTAGCGATATCCTACAGATGCAACCTCGCCTTCCTCTTCCTCAGACACGAACGGGTTCTGCTCCGGAAACTTATATTTCGGCTCAGCTGGGCCGTTTTTCAACACCTATAAGAACAAAATATTATTTTTTAATGTTAAATAATATTAATATATATACTATACGCAATATATATACACATGTTTATATTTTTAATTATATACATAAATTTATTCATTTCAATTAGAATGAATAACAATGATTAGTGGTCTATTGCTACAGTGCCAGTCAGAAACATTACAAATAATTTCCTGTCTGCTACAAATTTAGTTCCTGCTATAAGCAGGAACTAAATTTGCGATATTTATAGTTATTATTTAGGCCATATCCCTGTCACTATTTGCTTCTTGGTTTCAAAAATTTCTTAACCTAAAATCGAAGTAAACGAAGTAATACGCATGATTGTATGAAAAAACGAAGTGATTCCGTAGATGCACACATTATCACGTAAGTGCGCTTCAAGGGTGCATAATCTTTAGCATTCATTTTTAACTCTATACATTTTTTATAAATCCCCTAATGGTTTGACACGCTGTAAGTAATTAATATTTTGGCCACACAGTGTTTCGAATATTTTGGCAAGTCAAAAATGTGATTGTCCCAAAACTTAATTCTAACTATTACGAATGCGTGTCTGCCTACCCTTTCTACGAAACAGAAGTCAGTATATTTACCTATGTATGCGAAAATGTTTTACAGAAATACAATATTCAGTACTGTATTGTACTGAATATTGTATTTCAGTAAAACATTTCATATTTATTGTATACAATAGTTTGTGTTTTGATCAAAAAGTACACAAGACTAACCTGTTGGCTGAAATTGTGGTTAATAAAAGTCGCCTCAAGCGCGAGGTTACGCGGCGAGTTGATGGAGTTGCCATCATCAGTCGGCGGCTCCACAGATGTCTCATTTACGGTCAGCAAGTCAAACTCAGTGTTGTCACGTTTATCAAAGAATAACTTGTCACCTAAAATTATAGTAAATGTTAAATGATATTTATTTCTGTAAGTAAATCATTTCAGATATTTTTACAAGTCGGATAGCAAGTAAATATTGCTTGTATTCCATAGTATATTAATTCTTAGTTCCATGGAAAGTTATGTTTCATTTATTATACTCCCCACATAAGATGGCACAAAGGTATAGAGCAATTATTTAATTTTCAATACAATTAAAGAATGTTGAAGATGGATTGAAACTTGATACATTACATAGAATGGTTGCTGCCATTAATAATTTACATGATAGCTTTGGTAACATTTGATACAAATATTATGCTGCGAGGTCGTTAAAGAAGGGTAATTAGCACACTACACTCACAACAAATGACTGATTTGGAATTCATCTATGTAAATATTTATAGGTTATAGGAATATAACATACAAACAATGAAAGCAAACATACTTTTCCATTAATTCTAAAAATAATTATAAAGAAAAACACATACCAATCTTCTCAATAACAATATCCCAAGAATAATTGGAGCGAGTACAGCACATGATGGTGGCCAATATAGCATCAGTGGCATACACAGTGCCTGCCGTTTTGCTCAGCCTTCGGATCACTGGATCATCAGTAGTAGTGACCTGGAGTTAACAGTTTTAGTAACACTGACTTAGTTTACCCATTTGTATGCCAGCAATAATACATACATTAAAATACAAGGTTTCTAATAAAAAATAGCAAACTGCAAACATTATACACATGCTCAGACTAGTCACTGAAGGTTAATGGACTTTTCTATGGAAGGAGAATCTTAGATTGCTCTTACATATTTGTGGAGTTTATTTTTACTTTATTTAGGTTTGGTTTCAGTGTTATTTAGTATTAGAGTAAAGACTAAAATGATAACATTTGATTGACTGACTTACCGTATGGAAGATACGGTCTATGCGTTGCAGTGGCTTCTCATGTTTTACATTGACACGGTCATAAGCTTTGTCATAATACTCCAATGTACCGCAGCATACAATATCTTCACCTGTAAAATAACTTTTTGTTACCAACGAACCAAACGAAAAATATGTTCAAGTTACTTTGCTCTTAAATCTGTATCTTTTTAATGCAAAAATAACAATTTGTGAAATACAAATTGTTACTTTGTCTAATTTTCTCTTTCTTCATTTTATAATGTTCCATGGAACACACTGTTTAAATACACCTATTAAAACAAAAAAATAGTAATTTTCACCATATTAAATAAGTACATGCCTTCTTTGATACCAGGCAAAGACAGCTTTGCAAGGCGAGGAAAGTCCATATCTTCTATAGTGACCCATGTAGGTCTCACCGTTACTGATGCATCACGGATCTTCATTGGAGCTCCTCGCTGGCCCCATCTCTTGCCAAGCTTACGATCACGTTGCTGGCAAATACAGAATAATATAATTATTATTAACAAAAATGAGAAATAGTAAAATGGGGAGCTAATAATAAGTAACAATATCTATGTACATACATATTTTTAAAGAAATTTATTGCAAAATAACTTTTGAGTGCAGCTTCACTTATGTAAACATTATAATCATATCTTACATGATAATTTTAGGCTATGCCATTATTCATTTAATGATGATGATCAGTTGGCTAGAATACTTAGAAGCTAATAAACTCACCTTTGCTTTTGTAATATATAAGTAAGGCTATACAAATCAATTTTAGTTAATTTAGTTCATAATGTACATTCATACATATAAGCATATGGTAGTAGTACACTTGTTTACATATTTGATAGTTTACCTTGTTCAATGTTGTCATACCGCCAGGCGTTCGTGCACCCCTAGCACCACGACCTCGCTGGCCACGGGCGCGTCCCCGCTGGTATGGGGGCTTCTGCACCCTTGTCGTGTCAACGAGATGGAACGTACTCTCATCCTCTTCGTGGTAATACGCGTAAGACGAACCAGCGCCAAATTGAGACGCATACTTGTCTAAAAGTTAAAAAGAAAGAATAGAGCTAAGGCACCTTGCGTAAATATTAAAATTTATGATACACAATCTCAATCTCTGATTGGAAATTTTCTGGTTTACGAAGCGTTATAACCTCAAAGAAAATAATGTAAATTAACTAAATGAATACTCATACAAATTGATAATATTAAACTTACTTTGATATTTTTTATCTTGTACCATAGTCCAATCGCTAATTTTACCCAAGCGATCGCCTTTACTAAAGGGTTGGTAAGGCATGTCCCGAAACTGTTCCGGCATTTCGCATGGACCCCATCCTGTCGGATTATCCTGTATAATTGGTGCTATGAACCGCACCGGCTCTTCTGCCGGTAAAACATGTTCCGACATTGTAACAAGCGTACAATAATTACAATTCTAGTAATAAATCGACATGAAGTTACGACAATGCCACACGACACTTTCAAAATGACTTTTTAATAGTGTAGGGTCTCGTCTGTGACTAGAGATTAGTGTGACAGTCGATTGTGGAAAAAAATTACAATCGATTCATTCGATGGCCCAATTTATTCCAATGCATTCGAATTACAACTAATTTTCTGTGATAGTCAGTCGATGTCAATGTCGATGTGTGATGTGTGAGAGTCAGTGATTGTTTCATGTGGCACGATAGCGATTGCGCCCGAGAATTCAAACAGTAAATCGTTCAAATGAAGTTCAAAAAATCAAAAGTGTAAACGATTTTTACACTCGCAAACAAAGACTGTGGTAATAAAATTCAATTTAATAAATTGTATTTTATTCAGAATTGTAAAATGTCCATCTTTTTCCGAAAGGTTAAAGTGAACGTTTTAAATACTAAAGTAGCAAACAAGTAAAGTACATATTATTATACTTTTGGTAACAACTCCGGACTAGTTATATGAGCACATCCATATTTAAAGTGTGTTCCGCTCAAGTGTAAGGCCTTGCGCCGTTAATTGTCATATATATAGTAATAGTGCCTATGGGTTGAAATATTATTTCAAATGTCCCAGGGTACCTTGACAAAATATTAATTATTCATTCTGAAATATGAAGTGAGCTGTGACTTGTAGTCACTTTTCTTACACCAAGAACACTGCTTTTCACACGAAATTGTAAAAAAAGTGACCTGTTACTATTATATAGCATTTATTCCTGTCTAATGTCCACATGTCTGTTGTTATCGACAAATGGGTTACATTAATACTATTTAAACTTTTTTTTACTAAATCGTGGTCGTTTGGCAACATAGTTTGAGATATATTTTTTGTACTCGGTAGATTATAATTCGGTTGCAGCAATTTAACAAAATGAATAAAGCTTTTATTTTTGACCATAGATAAAGGTTGATAGTCGGTAACTATCATATTTATTAAACCGCGGTTAAAAGAATGACTATCTATTGTTCTCTTTGGTTGCTGCATACAGTAGCACTTGTCTATGCTTTCTAGCCCGTGGAGGTCTAGGTAGCGCAATATCGCTGTGCGGACCCCTAAATTATAAAAAGTTATGTCACGTTGATGATGACAATGATATGAATTCGATACAGCATTATTAAATTAACGCTATCTAACTACGATCTTCTGTAAAGCAGTGGCGATTAATGGCCCGGTAAAATACTTCCAAATAAGTAGTAGTAACTCCCGTTGAAGTTGCAGTTTACTACACAATGTTACATGGCAACACTAAACTATTCAAAATACTTAGGGGAAGTCCCATATATGTATATATATACGAATATGATTCGGTAGTTCACTCAAAGGTTTACTTTATAAAAAATTGTAACGACATTACGACCATTACGACCTTCAATTATCTCGGTTGAAGGGCATACGTTAATGAGATGTCAGTCACATCTTAGAAGTGCGTCAGTATAACATTGATAAATTAACAATAATCATATATGTAAATTCCAAGAAAAATGTAAGTAAAATACCCACAGCAAACTATAATCTTATGTGGGAATTACATTAAATGATTGTGTTCCATTATAGGCACGCTGAGCTTGCAACTCAAGACGCAAGTGCTGATCTTAGACATCAAAGAGGATGCTCTTTTCTTTTAGGTTTAAAAATCGTTTCAGTTTTCAAAACCGAATAATGTTTTATATCTGATTCAGAGATAATTTCCTAACTACGTAATGTTCCTTCGAGTGGCACTGAGTGAAAAACCAACTATGACCAAACTGTCAAGAAACTCCTGCAAAATAAAAATATGTATTTTTGGCATTCCTAATAGGTTTTTTTCTGGGGCATTTATTTCACATCCTGCCTGCCCTGGCCTGGTCTGGTGTTGCAATTGATGAAGACTTAAGTGCAGATAATTCTCAACAAACTCACACTAGCCCCTCTGGTTATAATTAAATAATGATGATAAGTAATAATAATAATATTTCGGTCATCTAATATACAACGCCTCATCGCAATCTAGTTTCAAACTAAGCAGATCTTGTAAGTACTATGAATGCTAGATGGACCGATACAATACTTATATACCCTTTTTTTTGTAAATACATACATATTATACATAGAAAACCATATCATATTATTCATTTAACTTACAAAGGACGTGCTAAATTTATTTGTTGCATTTGATAAGAAAAAAAAGTTTTACCTTAAATTGCGCAGGAATATTTTGTACTGGGATCCACAACAAATAACAATTATTTATTTGTAATTTGTTTGCACATTTCGGGTAAAGTCCGGTATATTATATTACATAGCATTTAGCATGAAATTTATAGATAGATTGATTGATTGATAGAGATAGAAAAATTGACAGATAGATAGAAAACTCTTTATTTGTACACTGTTTTACTAAATTGTATAGTACATAAAATTGTCAGACATGTAATGTACAAAGGGATACCTTATTTGCTAGGAGCAATCTCTTTCAGGCAACCTTAGGTTGGATCAAAATTTTGATCCATCCTAAGGTTGGATCGGAGAGACGATAGCAGTTGAAGGTGCAATGAGTTTTGGCAGGTTAAATGCTAATAACTATAAAAGAGGTACAATTAGATAAAAATATGCATATAAACACTAATTTTATGTTTTTTAAGTAAATAAAAGATATAGAGAACGAAATAATAAATCTTTTTGTATCAGGAAAAAGGGAAAAATCAAAGAAACATACAAACTTACATTACATCAATAAACTCTACTGACGATTTCAAATGGATACAATACTTGAACGTAATTCGATATTGGTTGTGTTTTATGTAAAGTTTTATGCCCTCGTTAATAAATACAAATAACAATGTTTCTCTTTACAAAACCTTGCTTTATATCGATTAAAGGTGCAAAGAATAAAAAAAATGTTAAGTTTAAGTTTTTTTTTATGTAATAGAGGGTAAAGGAGCAGAAGGATTACCAGATGGTAAATGACTATTAAAGAAGATGGACATCGGTAACCTGTAACTCACAAAGTGCGCGATGCAAGTGCGTTGCACCCTAGTGCCGCCACTCCCCCCAGAATTAGGTAGGCAGGCAATAGGCCTTCGGTAACCGCGCTCACTTGTCGAAAGAATTGTTTAATACTAGTTTTCTGAGAGGCCATGCTACCACTAAGCCAACCCATGTGTGCCTCATGGCTTTCCAAAGGTTACTTTTTAACTAATTGGCAAATGCTACTAAAACTCAGTTCACAGTTAAATTTTGTAATATTTATTTCTTAAGTAGTACTTTTGGTCTGTTTTCCAACATTTTTTACATCATTAGACCGAGAAGTACATAGATTACAGCAAAGCAAGAAGAAAGATTTTACACATCAGTTTTTTATTTTTTTACATTTTTTTATAAGATTTTTATGCAGTTGTTGCTTAATATCCGAAAATATAATAGCATTTTAAAGGAATCCATCATTACAGCCAAAGTTCATATTTATTTACTTACTCTTACTCAATATTTTATTAATTATTTTTGAATTTAAAAAATTAAACTAAATACATAAATACACAAAGTTCCTCAACAAATATTTGAAATCGCTATTTAAAAAATAACTAACAAAAATTTTCAATATTTAACTTACATACGTACACTTTTTTTTTTATTTCTGGCAACCTTGCACCGGCTACGGTTACGGGGATTTACACATTCGATCCTTGGAAAACGTCACATCATAAGAATTCTATTCGATTGTGCTCCACACATGAGATTATGATTTTTGTGTCTATTATTTACCTACATACAATAAGTAATTAATCTTCATCTTGCAAAATGATTGTAAAAAGGCGTTCATTTTACCATTAGCATTACGCATAGTTTCTCTAAAAAAGAAATTAATAAAATGTTTCATTGAATCTATATATTTAATATATTTATTTACGCTTTCTGCATAATGTAATGCTTAAGGCGGACTTAGGCATTTTCTTCCAGCAGACCTTTAGGTGGTGCAGAGCTGTGTGGCAGGTGTATAATTCAAACTATTAAACAGAGTTACCGGGTAATTCGACCTATAGTTAAACCGCCGTAAGCTTGGCCCTCCTGATGGTTTGCGGGACGCGGGGCGGGTAATGCGCTCGGCTATACATGACACGATGTACTAACTCGATATCTTCAGATTTATTTGTTTGAGATTTATAATCTACACACGATGTAATCAAAATCGAATTTATTTCCATGTATTATAATGTCAGTGTATTGTAAGTTTTTATGATTAATTGTAAAATTTAATACTGTAAAATAATTTTTAGAAAATCACCTTATCTTCATCATGTAAATTATATTCAGATACAATTTTAAAATTTAAGTAAAATAATAAATATTCTTTATTAGAACTTTAACAATAGAACCTGTGTAAGCCGAACTTCAAGTTTTTAAATCTTTTTGTGACGCAGAGTCGACAGATTATCCATGTTGCAAAATATTACCGTGTGTAGCAGTCTTAAGAAAAATAACACATACAGCCATGCTTTCACGTCAGTCACTGCCAGGCGGACAGCGACGCACTAGCTAATTGGATGAATGCATCCCCGCCCCGCGTCCCCCAAACCATCAGGAGGGCCAATCTTACGGCGGTTTAACTATAGATACTTTAAGGGGTTGTACTAGCCATAATTTCTGATAGATTTCACCATTCAAGACTATATTCCAAACCTAACCATTTTCAAGATATTGGACTAAAAGTTCAATTTAAAAGTTTAATTTAAAAAGGTTTTTATAAAAATTACCGAAATTTTGCCTAATAAAAATTTTCTGGAACTTATTTATTTTATTTTGTGTTTTTTTACTATTTCTATTCCTCGATTGTATAGGTTATCTCTAAAAGTATACATAAACATCAAGTATATTACTACACCAACTACTATAAAAAATTATCATAAACATAAGTTTAACAATTATCTCTTCTTTTATAAAATGATGTTAATTTATTAAAAATAGTTTAACTAAATTAAATTTTTTTAGGTTTCACACCAAATCTACTACGAGTATGGCAGTTAACGAGTCCTTGCAATCAACTTGCTAGCTCTTTCTTAATTAAATACATATATACAATTAATCTAGTTTAAATCGTACAATATTATCTTAATCTGTGTCTACCATCAGAACTCCCTAGCATGTAATAAGGTCAATGTATTGTGGAAATAATAATAGTTAATCTGTCTGTGCTAAGAAGTATCTGCCGTTTACTGTGTTCGTACTAATTCGTACATACATCGGTCGATAGTCGACATTATGTCCTTCCTTTAATCAATTGTGATGCAACAGCTGGTCTTTTTTTTTCATCATGTTATTATTAAAGACAATAATTTTATACTATGAAACACATTGAAATCGCAATAATGATATAAACTTGTAAAAAACGCCGGATCCAAACTAAAGGATTGAATGATTGATTATTGTGAATACCGTATTCAATTACAAAGTTTCAATTTTAAAGCATATAAATTGAATATACAAATATAGAACAATACAAAATGTATTTTTGTTTGTATAGTTATGTCTCCGCATTGATGCGCTAGGAGTTTTTGACAGATTTCTAAAGAAATTTTGGCAACACTTAACGAAAGTTGGTGAAGCAAGTGATATTAATGTCAATATTCGCATCGCATACTCTGTGCTTTAAGAAATGAAGTGTGACTGTGTGAGTCGCACAGAGTACTATGTTCAATATGAAAGTGAGTCGCATGTTCGCTTTTGGCGATAGTGAACGTGCATTCTTGTTTTAGATATTTTTATTATTACAACTTAGATCGATAATGAGTAAGAAGTTTAAGAATAAATAAATACGAAAAAACTTAATCTCGGATGTTTGAAAACGTATACTAATTCTATTGACGAGTTTTAATTTCGCGTTTAATTTAAGTTTTTTGTGTTATTGTGTTATTATATTCCTGAAAAGTTTAATACAAAAATGACTTCTAATGAAACTGTTGCAACGGTATGTTCTGTAAACTATATATATACATAAAAAATCAGTTTATTCTGGGCAGCTTGTTTAAATAAATTTTGTACATTTTTGTTTTGATAACTGAATAAACACGAACGGCTCTACATTAATAAAAGGCGGCAAATATGATTCTTTTCGCTTCAGCAACTGCAGATAAATTTAGATTTTGTACAAGTGTGTTCTGTGAGTAGATAACTTATGTGATAACCAACAAATATTATTTGCAGACTGTGGTGCACGGAAACAGAAGAAATCTTTATTTGATTACACTCAGTGGTAAGCAGATTTAAAACATTTTGTATTGATTATTATTACATACATTCATGGGCCTCATGGTTTACAGGTTAGTGATCCTGACTGCGAAGCTAGAGGTCGTGGGTTCAATTCCCAGCCAGGACAAGTAATTGTGTGATGAGCACAATGACTTAATCTGTGCCAGGGTATTTTTAATCTATAATATTAATTTAAAGATTTTTAAATATGTTTAACAGCAGTCTGGTTACTATAGTACAGGCTCTGCTTAGTTTACGATTAGACGGCCGTGTGTGAGATTTGCAAGGTTATTATTAGTGTTAATAGTTTAATTTTTTCAAGTAAGTAGGTACACATACTCTTAGTTTGACAAATAAAATTGCAGTTGCTTAAACTGCAGATTTGTCGTTTTTTTGATTTTGTGATTAATTCTTTGATTTTATTCACAATGAAAATTAATTTAACTAATTACCAATTTTTCGACTATACTCACTTATAATTAGGGGAACACATAAAAAAGGATTCGAATAGTACATTATCTGAAAGCAGATAAGTTGTACCGTTTCTCCGCTATAATAGTCTACTTACATTTGTGCAGAGCACAAAGTCAATTCTCGGAATAAAAAATCGTTCGAAATTCAGTTCCGATCTAACCTTACTTTCTGTAAAGTCTTGGGCAGAAGTATTAGGTGTTAAAGTATGAAATTGAAGATTTTTACTGAAAAATTTAAACTCATTTGTTTCTAAGATGTAACATATTTATTTAATCAATATTTTTTCTCATGATCATTATTATTATTATATTGCTGCCATCTAAACGGAAGTTCAGGTGCAGATCAAGTCAGGGCTGTTTCACTGCCAGTTTCGCCATCATTGTTCGAAGTTTGGCACAGTAAACATCTGCTGGTATTGCTTGACCAGACCTAAGAAAGCTATACCTAGCGAATAACACCGTGAACGGACCACCAAACAGTTACCATTTACTTTTTATTGGTATACTTTGCTTTAGGGAACTGTTGCGGTGTTTGACCTGGGGTCAGCCATTTCATTTTCACTTACGGTGATGGTGATGAGATTACTTTTCATAACATGACGAAAAATGTCTAAACTATGTCTCTCTTATTCGCTGACTTGTAACTCAAATTATAACACTTACAGTGTCCATCGCATTTATGGCTCTCGGAGTGTCTTCCGCTTGGCCCACACCAGTGTTGCCAAAGTTTAAGAATAACGAGACCAACGTAGTTATTAACGAGGTGAGTACACATTTTACCAATGCCTTATTCCTTACTATTTAAAAACTGTTCATTTCATAACTTTCATGTAATGCTGAAGAGTTTTACCTTTTTATACCTACAGATTTTAAGTGTCCTACACGATTACTTTGATGATTCTTTATTATATCTAAACTATATTCTGATTGTTGTCAATGTCTACCTGTCGCCACAGTAATTAACTCATGCTTCATGGTAATTGGTGTTGGACCTGCAAAAGGTAACAGTGGCGAACCTGCAAAAACTGACAGTTAATAATAGGTTGGCCGTTAACTATACCGTTGCCGTTGCCGTGGCCGTTGGTCGACAACGACGAATTAGTAGAAGCGGATCTAACTCAATCAATGGCTGAGCTTGCTGCGGGCTTTGGAGTTAGTCAAAACAACATTGAAGCACTTGCGTCTAATTGGAAACATAAAAAGCTAGATAAGTAGGTGCTATACGAACTAAGCGACCATCAGCGAGACTTACGCTTCGAATAATGCATAGTAATACTGAAGCGACATAGGAACGTGTTAATTCTGCTTCGAATTGTTACCTGCTATGAAAAATGTATACTGTGCGACTATACGACAACTGAACCTTGCCCCAACAGATTTCAACTTTAAAAAAAAAGTAAATTTATCAAGTGGGAAAAAACTCAACACCCAAGAGGTAACAAAACGCTTTTGCTGTCTGCGTCGCCTCCCGGCCAGCAGACTTCTACAGTAAAGGAATAAACAAAATGCCATAAAAATGAAAAAAATTGTAGAGATAATTTGGACCAGTACTTTAATGTTAGTATTGTTATGTTACAAGTTTTACACAAGTCTCCAACTTTATGGTACCTAATATGTATTGTACCTATTATGTATTATTTATATGCTGTATAAATGTGGGGTTTGAGCTCCGTTAGCCTCATTCACTCAGTGAAAAGCAATGAAAGAATTGCCTAACACCGGCTTTCTGTGAGCCTGGCCCATATGTGCCGAAGCTTGGCTCTCCAACGATCATTAATATTTCAAGTATATCGGCTACATACCCGGCCAACTTGTTTACTTCAAACTTATCATATTACTCACTCATCGGGTATTATACTTTTTCGTCTGTTGACTTGACGTCATGAGTACTGTCCCGCCCTCCCTGATTTTTTTTTATGATAACAGACTGTGACATGTGTATATTCAGGTAGGTAAGTAAAGTACCGTGATTATCATTTTTTCTACCAGTTATTTAGCAATCATTACAAAGGCCATGTGATAAATAATACAGTTTATGAAAGTATAATCATATAGCCCCATTTCACTTGAAATTATTCATTTTGTTCGGCAATTATAGGCAGTGCAATGACAAATTACGCGGCTTGTCACTTGTTATAAAAATAAATTTACAAACAAAAAAAAAATTAAAATAATTGAAATAATTGGCGTCACTTATTTGTTGCTATATTTTATGTCTTTTTTTTTAAATAATACTTACGTGAAATTGATTAATTTAGTAAAATAAATATGTGCTTATCACAATTTCTTGAATTGCGATCGTGTTATCATATTCAATTCTATATTAAGAATAGATATGAATACGATATTTCGTTGCACAAAAGTTGATATTAACTATTTATTTTACCAGGGCATAGAAACTTTTGTATTTTATTCTCGTCGTGTGATATTTGTAAGCACAAAAACAACAAAAACTTTGAGACCGCATTAGTTAGAATTACAAATATTAAAACTGCTTCTGTCTCTTCCTATTTATTAAATAAATAGGGTTAAACAGTCACATAATTATAAATAAACAACTTTGTGACGCTAATAATGTTTTCCTTATAAGAATTTGACACATATATTCTTAACTAGCTGAGACCCGCTGTGTTACCCGCGTTTGTTGTTATAACCGCGGGCAACGCCGCGGGGCGAAGCTAGTCTAAAAAAAGTAGCTTAAGTTACTCCTTATGTCATCAGCTATCTGCCAGTGAAAGTCCCGTCGAAATCGGTCCAGCCGTTCCAGAGATAACCCGGAACAAACAGGCAGACAGACAGACAAAAATAGTAAAAATGTTATTTTGGCATATGTACCGTGTAAACATACATATGCATTTAGTAAAAAGCGGTTATTTCTTTGTATAGATTTACATTAGATATTCTAAATCTGCAGACTTTAAACAAACTTTAAACGAAATTACTAACTAACTTAAACATGTAAAAATAATCAAATTTAAAAAAGAAATAGACTATTATTTGTCTATTAGGACAATCTTTTTTTTTAAATGAGAAACAAAAAAATATATTTTTTGTTATCGTCGATGTACACCAGCACATTAACATAATTTATAGCAAGGACAATAAAGCCTATTTCTATACGATAAGACATTTAACAGGACATGGTGTCTAAACAAGGCATTAGTTAATCGAATTAATTACTTTATACATATGTAGAAGACGTCTCGTAAAAATATTCTTAGTAATTTTGTTATCTAGTGTTTTTTAGTACTGTTAAAGTTAAAAGCTAACATCAGCTCGATATGGCAGTACAATTTATGGCCTTATCATGAATAGTGCTGACAAGCTATGCCTGTTAGACCAAACAGTTGTGTGTGGTAGTTTGACTAAAGAAAAAAATATGTAATATTATTACATTTCAAGTTAAATAATGATTTTACAAAATAATATTGTAGGACTTAGTAATTGTTTTGTTCATATTTTACTTAAGCTTTTATCAGAATTGACGTAATTAAATTTATACCTATTTTTGGTTCTATATATTTGTTGTGTATAGCTTGGTTAAATTGTAATTGTCATTACAATGGTAAAACACAATGTTACGCAATCGTCTGGCCGTCCGCGTCCGTTGATAAAAATGTTTCATTTGTCTTCCAATTATGGGCAGTTAAAGTTATAACAATATATTTAAATATAGCATTGAATAGGTATAAGGTATAAAATTAAATATGTACAGGTTTTTCTTACCTTTCTAGTTGCTAATTGAACTTGAAAACAATATAATTTACTAAATATTAATATATTTATATATAGTATAATTACTATATATATAAATGTTAAGTTGGTTTGTGTACGCTTCAAAAACTCAGAGTTCTGCACTGATTAAGCTCAAATTTTGATACGATATACAACCCTCTTCATGTTGTTTTTATCTGTTGTCCATCGATGCAACCACAATATACCATTGTGAAGCGTGACAGAGTAAAAAATAAAAGTATATTATTATAGATAAAATACCTCAAAACATCTTTCTTGATAAGAAAGTTATTATTTTTAGTCGTAACTTATACTTCATTTACCCATTTCTTCTTCTTACATTACACCCACTTCTGAAAACAGAGATAGCGCAGGCTTAGCACTAATGCGATCGTAGCAATATAATCTACATATGTAAAAAAAAATCTGGAGTCGCATACCTGTGTTTCCATTCTGTGATTAGAACTGTGACAACAACTAGCTAAGTATAAGTTTACCTGATGGTAAGTGATTACGCCCATGGACACCTGTAATTCAAGAGTCACAAGTGCATCATCGCCCTTTGAGTCTCCCTCCTAGATTCAGGGGAAGGAGGGTTTGGGCTCCGATAAAGTTACTCACTCGGTGAAAAGCAACGTTACCAGGTGGTCAGGTTGGCCGTGGTATCACCCTAGGCGAGTTGGGTCTGTATGTGCTGAAGTACGACTCTCCCACGGAAGTAGAAACATGACAATACAATGTATGTCTAATTAAAGTCGTCAAGTTTACTGCCAGCCTCTCTTTCATCTCTACATCTCAAAAAATTCAGCATCACATCAACAGCTTTTAATAGTCCACTGCTGGACATAGGCCTCTCCTTAGAAAGGAGGTTTTGGCCTACTATGCCACGCTGGCCAGACGGGTTGGTATAGGGTTTATGTCAAGTTTTCCTTCTCTTTGCAGTGCTGTTGTCCTGCGTAGTTTGCTCCCTTAGTCGCCTCTTACGACACCCACGGGATGAACAGGGGTGGTGACACTTCGTATTCTTAATCCGTCACCACAGGGAAAGATTAAAAAAATCTCCCCGTTCAAATCTTAGTACAGCTTACCAACATAAATTATTATCATATACTCGTATTTAGCGTGGAGGTTTTTAAATATCTGTATAAGCGGGCACAGGGTTAAAGTTCTTTAATCAGTATTTAATGATAATTAAATTGTATCTCCAACAGGACCAAGTGGGGACAATGTTGTCTTTATACCCGGTGGGCTTTGCCGTGGGGTCCCTCGCCACAAGATACATAGCAGACATATTTGGAAGGCGCGCTACAATCTTGTGTAGCGCAATACCCATCGTAATTGGCTCGGTAAGTGTGAATTGTTATTTGTCGCGTATAATGATAATATATTGATGTCTGTGACCGCCGATCAATCGTTTGATGGTGATGATGTCATAAAAATGAAATGAAATTAATTAACAAATATGAATTAATTTAAATTTAAAAGGTTGTTTGTTTGAAACTTTGAAATTTGTTCAGATTCTTCAAGTCATCAGTTTAGCTGGATAGCCAACATTTATACTCCACTGTAACGAAATGTTACCACTGTATACTCCACTGTTACCTTAAAACCTTATTGACTAGTCTAGAGACTAGTTAATAAGGTTGTACCATTTTTTCGGTGGGGTATATGCGGTAAGGGTTCCTTGCACAGAAGAAAGTCTTTTTCTGTGGTTCGTACGGAACACTTAAACGAACGAACGAAACAAATGAAAAGTCACATTTTGTCACACTGACAATTTTACATTATTACAGTCGCGTCAGTAGACATAATAATATCTAACTAGGTCGAGATATTGTTTTTTTTTTATCAGTGAAAACTACAAGCGAACAATGGCTATTATTGACGCGCCTGTCAGTGTAGTGGTTAATGATCCTGACTGCTATGCGATAGGTTGTGGGTTCAATTCCCATCTCCGACAAATATTGTGTGATGAACATCATCATTTGTTTTGTGCCTGGGTGTAATTTTTCCATAATATGCACGCATTTAGAAATATGTAAATACGTTTATCAGCAGTTTGGTTACCATAGTACAGGCCTGTGTAGTTTGGGATCAGACGCCCTTGAGTGATATGTGTGAGGTTATATATTAATAATTTGAATATGTTATTATTGTTATCATTATTTTATGCTGTAGGTAGCCAAATCTGAGGAGTCACCTATCGTTGTTAGTTTTTGGTAGCAGATTAAAGATTAAAAAAATCATATTTAGTATAATTTTAAAACGTAAAAAAACCCCTTAAAATGTACAGAGGAAAACCATTGTCACAACTAGCAATGGAATAATAATAATTCATTGGCGAACTTATGAAAAAGCCTGCTTATTGAGAGATCAACAGTGCGGCCTCGTTGGCTATGTAATCAAAGAGTTAAAGTTTGGACCTGTTGGTTGATGCAAAACCGTAGAAGACTGTTAGAATACAAGGAAGACAGATCATCCATTTAAAAAATCAGTGAAATAAACATTTAAAAATTAAATGTACAAATCTGTGCCTCCTCTAATGAGTGATTTAAGTCGAGTGGTACCCTTTTTGTGATTTTTACATGGAAATACTAGGAATTTGTTTTTTTCTATCTAACTCACTTTTTTGTTATCTATTATAGCTTCAGAGTTAATTTTCTGAAGCTTTCGCTCAGCTGGTGATCTTCTCGTCTTTCTAACACACCGATGGGCACAGGCGATCGAGACCAAAGGAGAGGCTTGTGCGGTTAGTTTGGACATAGCGAAGGCCTTTGATCGGATCTGGGATAAGGCGCTCCTCTCGAAGCTCCCTTCCTTTGGGCTTCCCGAGAAATTGTGTGATTGGGTCACCAGTTTCCTTGCGGACAGAAGCTTTAAGGTCGTTGTCGACGGTGCATGCTCCGACTTGAAATTCGTAAATGCTGGTGTCCCACAAGGCTGTGTGCTATCACCCACACTGTTTCTTCTGTATATCAATGAAATGTTGCAAACTAGTAGCATTCATTGCTATGCAGATGATAGCACGGGAGATGCCCTTACACCGGCCGCCCTCATTTTTCTCGGGAAAACGTCATCGAGAATCGAACAAATTTGTGTCTGAAAGTGCGGAGGTTTCAGATTGGGGCTGGACTAAATCTAGTCCATTTCTTTTTTTTTTTTTTTTTTTTTTTAACGTGTGGAAATCCCCTCGGACCGTCACCCCACCGGGGTTTGCGGCGGGGTGGTGTGTCGGACTCGGACCGACTAAAACCACACGGTGTGCTACTCTGCGCCTGTAACAGGAGGGATCCGGGAACAGCTGTTGTTAAGACATCCGGAGGACTAAATCTAGTCCAGTTCAACCCAAAAAAGACACAGGTCTGTGCGTTTACCGCAAAAAAGTTACCATTTGTCGTATCAACTCAGTTTGAGAGCAGAAGCTCGGTGTGCTGAACAGATCGAGGTAGTATTTCACTTCGGTCCACCGCCTTCAGCTCTATAAGGCACAAGTCCGGCCGCATATGGAATACTGTTCTAGATCTGTTCAAGGTGATATAACTCTAATTATATAAATATTCACGATAAATATACCGAAAAATAAAATGTGCAAATTAATATAATCGCACTTATACCACGAGCACGAAAATTAATATGTGCAGCCATTATTTATACAGGGTGTAAGGGACATCGTAACGAATACTGAAATAGCGTATTCAAACCATCATTCTGAGTCGAAAATCATTAGAAATTTCTGCTAAGTAAAAATCCGAATCTAAAAGACAAATTATGAAAACACGGGATTGATAAGTAAAAAGAATCTCATCTTTGATTTTTATCATGTCTTTGCGCTACAAACATGTCTTAATGAGTTATTATTTGTACTTAATGGTACATTTCAATTTACTCGAAGACTACTTATAGGTGCAAACATAATTTTACTGGACCTGTATGATTTATCACGTAATTTTAGCATGTATTAGAGCGCATTTGACACGTTCTCCGCAACCGACTTGCATACCGACTTTGGTAAACTCGAATCAGAACAAAAATATTTTCAATAATGCGGCATCTGTTAGGGGATAATCTATGAATGCATCAGACCAATACAGCTAATTGATTATATTAAGTAGAATAATTAAAGCTATCAAATGAAACCTAGATATGTTTCGTATTAGTTTAATTAGGTTGTTTTGTTTATGGACGACGTAATTTCAAGATAAGACGTAGTGCTTGTCTTACACTAGATCTAGGCTTAACCAATTTTAATAAAATTTGGTACGGAGATACCTGATGTCCTGGATTAACCTAGTGTCCGATCGAAACAGTTTTATAACCAAAACCGAACTGTCGGCCTTTGTTTCGGTTTCAGCAGAAACCGAAACTCAAACTATCATTTTAAAATTTCGACTGCATACTGAAATCTAGTGAATTTTTACATACTACATATCACTTAAAACCACTGTAATACACAATTAATGAATTAATTACGGCAATAATTCATTAATTAATTAACACAATGAATTAATTATGGCATTAATTCTTAATAAGAGAACCTGTAGGTAGGTAGATAAAAGGCACGCTGTTATTGCGGCGGTAAGACCCGCTATGAAGAATCGGTTCGAAAGGCATAACGGGACCCTCTCATACCGGCTGACGCAGGTGATCATCGGGAAAGGATGCTTCGGGGATCACCTGTGTCTGATCCGCATGGAGCCAACGCCTGAGTGTCACCACTGCGATGGCCGGACCGAATGCCCGGCGTTGGTTGAGCAGAGACGTGACCTTATGGCGGCCATTGGAGTGGGAATGCTCTCGCTTAGTACCATGATTGCAGCCATTGCCATTGGGAGAGATTTAGAACTGGCCTGGTCTGCTAGGTCTGGGAACGGGCTAGGTATCGCCGACCTAGGTCACAGAACGACCTCCGTCCTCTTGGAGCGCAGGCCTGGGGGTGACATGGATGCGCAACCCTTTGACCTGATTCTGTGGAATAGGACTGAAAGGGCCGCAATGCACTGGTGACTCTTAAGTTGCAGGAGAGCCGTTTTCTACGACTCAGCAGCGAATTTAACCGAACGAAGCACAACACTTTACGAACACTGAGTTTCGGTGCGGTCGTAAGTTTCGGACAATCTTGGCCGAAACTGAAACTCGAACCGAAACTGGATTTTTTGGGATATACCAAAACTTTGGTCGGTCACTAATTAACACAAAGGCTACTTTTTATCCAGTAGAAATGTTGTATTCCCGTGGGATCAGTAAGGAATTGAAATATATTTGCAACCGCGGGTAACACCGCACCAACCCCCCTGCCTTTTCTTTGCCGTCTCTAAGGTATTAGCCAGGCCTTAAGACTCTGTTATATATAACCGTCTCTTTCTCGTCTAGACTAGAATGAATAAAAAAAGGCAATAGTTGTCTTGTATCGAAAATAGGGTAATAGAATAATAAAATAATAGAAAAAAACTAGGGTAAGCTGTACTATTGTTGACACCCCATCAGACATTGACACTCTTAATTAAAAAAAAAGATTTAGGATTAATGTGTTAAAAAATATTCAATCGATGCAGATTTTTTAAAGTTTTGAAGCGTACACAAATCAATTTAACATTTTTATATATGTCGATAGTATGTTAAGTAAAACTATTTTTTTTTGTAATGTTAATGTTTATACTAACAATTTTTTATTAAACTTGTTAACTCATGATAATTTATATTTTTAAAAAAATCGTAATTAAAAGTTAGTGCCAATGACTGATTAAAGAATCCTTAAAGTGCCAATCATTGTATAGTTTACCTTATTATTTAATTTAACAACTCACAAATAATTGGTCCGTTCCCACTTATTATATGACCTTCAAATTAACTTTCAAGTTCAGCGGTCCCGTTCATCCGCCATTATTATTTATTTAATTTATTAGATAACACAACAATGGACGATGGACTATGTATGAGAATAAAGTTATTTATCAATGTTATTGCTTCCAGGTAATCGTTGCGTTTACATTACAAGGATGGCTTCTGTACATTACAGCGCTAACATGGAACTGTGGTACTGGTATGATGAGCACTGTGAGTATGGTTTAAAAGTGACTAATATTAACGGGACTAATCCCTCCCACACGACCACCACTGTAACTCCTGTACACCAGGATCGACAGCAATGAACACACCGGGTTATGACACTCGGAAAGTCTCGGAATTCAACTGTCTTGGAACTCGGAACGGAACTAACCAGAAGAAAATTCGAGGAGTTGGAAATATAATAGATCCACTTTCCTCTTTAGCACAAAATATTATGAATCTTAAGTGAGCTTTGATTTCTATAATATGTATGGCAGAATCGCCTAAACGCACAGAAATTCACCCTAGTTGACACAAGAACCCTACAGTATACAGCCCCAGATGACAGACTATTCGCGGTTAGAGTCAGGTGTTGAGCATTGACACAATGGTTACTCTTTTGCTTTTAAGGTGACCTATAAGAAATTGAACGACACAGTGCACCACCAATCCACCTTAAGCCATGTCCTCGACAACCGTTCGCGATCAGATGGAAAGAACTGGTAAAGGTGCCGCCCCTTAGATGATTCGACCTAGCGTTGCTGCCATTCGTCTATGAGGTCATTTTAGACACATCCGCCTGATGTTGAAACAATCTTGTCATTTTATCGCGATTTCGTGCGCTCAAAAATCGCATTCCATGTTTCCTAGTGTTGAATAGTACATGGCTGTGCCTCGGGATACACCGCAAGTATGTTTTTATGACTAATATTAATTGTCTTTATCGTTGAGAGTAGTAAGATATCCTTGGGTAACCTTTTTGACCAAAGGAGCTCATAAAAATGTTAATCTCCCATGGTTGTTCATTTATCTTGGTGGTTACTTCCATAAATATATTCTTTATGTTCTTTGAGCGATAAATGTTTTAATACTTGTTTGGTTTGGTTTAGAAAAAAAATAGTACCAAATCATTTCGTAAAAGAAAGATACGTTAACACGTTAGGGTTTATTTACAAATTTATAACTTTGTATTGAATTCTCCGTTAACCTTTTTTTCATCAGTAAATGACGAGCATTTAATCAGTCCCAATGCATAGTCCGAAATATTAAAGTACATTAGTACAGTAGGGCAGTACATTAGTATCCCAATAATTTTACTGTTAATTATTATTTATATCGTATTCCTGGAATTTCGGTGCATACCGTACTTTCCAAGTAACGGTTGGCAGATTACTTAAATGGATTGCGTTATGTTTTATATTGCGCTCAGTGCCAATGTTTGTATAATTGAATTTTATTATTCAAAAACTGGAAACTTAAGGAAGCCGTCCGACTGGTGTGAACAGGTGCTTTTTACCCATATGGAAGCCAATAGCGCGTTTAAATAAATAATAAAAAAAATAAAAAACTCAGCCAGCCATAATAATCCACATACGATTCTCCTTAGAAAGGGGGTTTTGGCCTACTATACCAGCCAGACGGGTTGGTATAGGGTTTGTTTCAAGTTTTCCGTCTCTTGCCGTTGTATTGCGTAGTTTGCTCCCTTATTTGGCTCTTGCAACACCCATGGGATGGTGCCACTTCGTATTGTTAATCCGTCACCACACGGAAAAAAAAAAACTAATTAAGGGTTACTTGTTGGTAGAGATTTCTGTTTCCACATTTAGACTTCCAAACAGTTCATTATACTATTTCTAATTTATGTGTTTGTAATCTGTAAAAACTATACCAACAATATGCAAATTACATAAAACTGACCCTTTTTAGGTAATTGGATACTACGTTTCCGAGATAGCAGACAAAGACGTGAGGGCATCCTTACAAGTGATTACCAGTTTCACCTTTAAATTTGGAAACCTCATCACAATGATCTTAGGCCCGTTCCTTTCCTACGAAGACTTGAATTACATTATGGTCGCCCTTCCTATAATTTATTTCGTCGTATGCTGGTGGATTCCGGAGACACCGTACTTTTTTTTAAAGGCTGGAAATGTGGAAGGTGCTAAGAAGTCTCTGCGCATATTGCGGAGATATAAAGACGAAAAGGTTTGTTATAATTCTTAAAGAGTTTATCATTTATATTAAAAATTCACGTGTTCTTATGTATTCCTAAGGATTAATAGATTTTTGTACACTGATTCTACACACATTCGAGATAAGAACATTAAAAGAATAACAAGATTTTTTAAATATCTCGAATTCTTTGTACTAATCTCAAAAGGTTTGTGTAATATCTGGAATTTATGGTAGAACGTAGTAGAGATATCATAGAAAATTTTCGCTTGCGCCTTTGACGGTGTATATCTCTTTCGTGTTGTAGTTAAAGTAGAACAGTAAATGAATATATTTTATACTAGCTTTTGCCAGTGGCTCGGCTCGGTGTGTATGTTGGTTATCGCGGTAAAGAGTAGCCTATGTTACTCGCTGATAATATAGCTTTCTATTGGCGAAAGAATTGTTAAAATCGGTTTCGTGGATTAGGCGTGAAAGCTAAACAAACAATCTCACTTTCACATTTATAAGTATGGAAGTAGAATGGGATGATTATTGCTGAAATGATATTTAGGCTACTCTTTTCAAATAAGTAAAGTTACGAGTCTTACTAATACGAGTATACTAGTATGCTATTATTATTCAACATTTTATCAACACAAGTCACAAAATTAACATCAACATATCCAATTATAAAAGGTTTTGTTCAACAAAAATGATTCCAGAAGTCAATTTTGATCAAACGTAATTTACATGGTTATAAAAAAAGTTTTTAATCAGTAGGTATTACAGAAACTGGATGTGCTATGCTATATTATAATAATATCATTTTGAAATAGTGTTAACTTTTTAGGTTCTCGACGATGAATTGCGATCGCTTCAGGCAGACGTCCAAAACGAAATGATTCACTCAAGTTCAATAAAGGAGTTACTGTCGGGACCCCAGTATAGAAAGGCTATCATTATCGCTTTGGGTGTGTATTTTTTATTTAGGTATTTAATATTAACTGGCCCGTTGCTCTAGTGACTCTGACTGCTAAGCCGAGGTCGTGGGTTCGGTTCCCATCTAGGACAAATAATATAAATATGTGGAAAGCATAATCATTTGTTCTGTGTTCGTGTTTAATTTATCTGAGAAATATATACATATATTTAAAAATATTAAAGTATGTTTATCAGCAATCTGGTTACCATAGTTCGTCTCTTTATTTACAAAGTTTAAACCAGCTGATCCGCCCAACGTCGTCTGCGTAAAGCATTATTTTTTTCCCGTTTTTGCAAAAAAAAAAAATGATATGCTACGACACGACACGACAATAGGAGCCTGCTTTTCTCTTATTGTCGTGTCGTGTCGTAGCATATAGCAACACTAAGAGAGGTTTTCCAGATTTTCCATTTTCAAACCATTCATGAAATTAGGGCTTCAACCAAGCAAACAAATTCTCCAGCTTTATAATATTATAAGTATACGATTCTAACGTAACTAACATTTATCGTTGGTACCGTTACCATATTGTGTTAAAAAAGACATATTGTGTCGATTTTTTCAATTCGGTTTATAAATGACGGAGTTACGAGGTAACAAACATTTAAAGATAATATCAACTTAATTGAACCTCCTCCTGTTGACACTTTGTAGTCTTTTTAGTTTTTTGGTTTTTATAGGCTATAAAATTTAAAAAAACATGACTTTTTAAATCCTTACCTGGAGCTGACTGATAATGGACTTTTTTAATTTTCAGGGTTGAAGATGGCACAAATAATGACGGGAGGCGTTTTGATAAGGCAGTATTTAGGTTGGATCGTAGGGGAAACCAAGTTAGATATGAAGATGTCCTTAGTGCTCATTATATATGGCTGCGTTACCTTCGTTGTTGGTAAGAGATATTGTTATAGTAGGTGTTAATTAATAATAATAATATTGTATCACATTCACACAACGCCATCTAGTCCCAAACTAAGCAGAGCTTGTACTTTGGCTACTAGACAACTGATATAAATACAGATTTACCTTTTTTTTTGTAAATACATACGTATTATACATAAAAACACCCAGATCAAATAAAACATTAAATGTTCATGCATACAAACGTTTGACTTGAGCGGGAATCGAACCTGCGACCTTTGGAATAGCAGTCCGTTACACAAACCACTACGCCACCCGGTCGTCTATTATTCTGTATTATTTATATGTATACATTTATTAATGTCTAGGTATGTTTACCAGCAGTACGGTTACCATAGTAAAGGTTCTATCGCCGTTCAGTCCGCCTAAGGATAGATGGCTGTGTACCTCAAGTTCAATTATTATTATTTGTATAAAATCTCTTACATTGCTCAACTACACATCTACGCATCCAACTACATTTAAAGCTTTGAGAATTAAATTGAAACTAAAGAGAAGGTAGTATTTATTGTCCTAAACAGTTAAAAAATAGTTACATAAATCCAATTCATAACATTTTATAGGAGTAACAGCGAACCCCTCCTGTTCTTATGCTTGTAATAAAACTGTGTTACAGGTAGGTTAAGGATAATCCTAAAAAAGAATAGTTGCAGCCATAACCATCAATGCTAATTTGTATTGAATTTTGATTTATTAAGTCCTTAACTAAAATATCTATATACCAGACGAGGAGACGAAAAAAAGATAAAAGAAAGTATATAAAAAAAGTTAAGAATAAAACAAGAAATATCCTTGCCTTATGAGGTGTAGGAGTGTGCGTGTGTGGATTGTGGTTGCAGGTGTGTGATTTTGTTATTTGTATGTATGCGTGACTACTTACAGTAAGGGATTATGTAAAGCGTTAATATTAACTTTCTGATAGCAGAAGTTCCTCTGGAAGAAAATGATATAGTAATGAGATAAAATAACTTCCCATTGTACAGCATTTATTGTGCCAAAACAGATTTACGAATTTATAAATGCCTCGGTGGTGCAGCGGTAGCGTATGCGACTGCTGTGCTGAGGTCTCGGGTTCGATTCCTAGGTCGGACCAAATGTTTGTATGATCTGTAAATTTCGGAGTTTGGGTGTTTGCTATACAAATAAATAAAATTGGAGTGTCTGTTTGTAATATTAAAATAACCGCTTTTTACTAAATGCATATGTATGTTTACACGGTACATATGCCAAAATAACATTTTTTACAATTTTTGTCTGTCTGTCTGTCTGTTTGTTCCGGGTAATCTCTGGAACGGCTGGACCGATTTCGACGGGACTTTCACTGGCAGATAGCTGATGACATAAGGAGTAACTTAGGCTACTTTTTTAGACTAGCTTCGCCCCGCGGCGTTGCCCGCGGTTATAACAACAAACGCGGGTAACACCGCGGGTCTCAGCTAGTCTATAATGTGTATGTATTAATTAAATTAATTAATTAATTAAAACTATATAAGTATTCAGTTTCATTCATCAGTCAATGCTCTGCTTAGCTTGAAGCTAAATGGCGTTGTGTGTCAGATGTCCAAAAATTATATATAAAAAAACTTGAAAATACTTTTTTTATGGTTTCAGCTATGATGTCATCAGTATTAGTCGATCGCGTCGGTCGTCGGTCACTTTTAATTTACTCATTCTACGGGACGGGCGTGGCTCTGGGACTCATCGGCCTGTACTTCTTCCTTCAAGATGTTATGAACACAGGCTCTGCCATCCTAACTACTTTCGGCTTTGTACCGCTAGTGTGTATTATCTTATCAAATATTATATCCACTTTAGGTTTTAACTCCCTGATACATATAGTACCAGCTGAAATATTTCCCTTGAACGTTAAAGCAGTCGCCATGACTAGTTTGAATATATTCGGTGCTCTCATGGCATTTATTGTTGGGCAAGGGTATCCAAAAGTGAAAGCTGCTTGCGGTCTGACGACGATATTCTTTATTTTTGCCGCGTTTTCTATAGTAGGTGGTGTGTTCTCATACTATTTTGTAATTGAAACTAAGGGTAAGAAACTTAGGGATATACAAATCGAACTACAGGGAAATATGTATAATGCCGTTGAGATGGTTGAAAACGTAGAAACAGTTGTTATTGATGAAGACAACAAGAACGGTACAGAACAAAAGGAGCTTAAGTCAAGCAATACTTAAAATATTCTTAAAAGAATTGGTATGATTGTATTTTAGCCTGTATATTTTTACACTCATTGTCCTGATACTGCATTTACGAGTACGAGTATGTCTTAGTGTTTAGTTTTTTATTACAGTAAATAGTATTTAAGTGCTAAGTTTTTGGACATTACAATCCTTGTAGACTCGTTCTAAGACTGGTTTATATTTAGATTCCCTTTAACAATAATATATACATATACAATATGATAAACTCTTGATAAATTTAAAATATTTAGTTTAACCTGAGCGACTCAGAACTGAAAGACGAAAGTTACTATACTTAAAACTTGCAAATTAACCTTTTATATTTTAATACATTTTTATTTTGTTTAATTTTTAACTGAGTGGTCGAGCGAGTCTAATTTGATATAACAAATTATATATTTCGTCAAATATGACAGCTCGTGCTTTTGTCTACAAATGTAGCTTTTTATAGACTGGTTTATGTTTGGATTAATTTACATCACTTTGTTTATTTTGACGTATTAAGACATTTATTTTTAAAACTAATCGCCCACAGTTCTCGATAAGTCTGACCCACAAGTATAATGTTCGTTAATGTTAATATGTTTAATTAATTAATTATTGAAATTATTTCATTATATTTTTGGTAAACATTTTACAATTACATGTAGGCTACTTGTTGTTTGTTTCATCACATTTTTCAATTTTTATTGTAACTCTTTGTATTAATACAAAAATGTAGGTGATTTAGAATATTAAGTAGTAGTAGTATTCGACATCTCATACAAAGAAGGTCCTTATTGTTTAGTTCAGAATAGCTGTGGTTGTTTTTATTATATTGCTATACGTTTAGTTCAATCCATAGACATAATAGGGCCTAATAAAAGATGTTTGCATAAGCTTTGCTTAAAAAAACTGGTTTCTTAGTAGCTTATTGTTCTATAATCTTAATATACATCACTCCCAAAATAATTTTGTGTTAGCCGCGGTGTCGCTAGTGTTATGCTAATTTCCTTTTCCTCAATAAAGGCACTTATTTCTGATGTAAAATCGTATCTTTATTGGTTGAGTAGTTTAGGCATGGAAGCGTAACAAGCAAGCAAACTCACATTCGCATTTATAATTTCAGGTAGTTAGGATTCAAAATAATATTTTAAGAACATTTGTCGTTTTAGAAACACCTCACATACATTTTAGTTGTAGTTATGAAAGCATATAACTTACTATGTCACAAAATAACATTAGAGAATGTAAATTTATTTTTACACACTTTATAAATGCTTAAGGTGCTGTATCTAAATACGTCGAAAATTCCGTTATGAAGTATAAGATAGATTTCACTAATAATTGTTTTGAAAATTTGTAACATGACAATACAAAAATTTAAAAATATAATAAATAGTCAAATAAAAAATCTCTAATAGTAAATTAATTTGGAATACTATAATTTTATCAATTTTAAAAAGTTCGATCATGCTTCATTAGTTCATAGAGATGGCTCCAAGCCCACATATTTTAAATGGCAATATGTTAGATAATGGCCGTATTTTGAAAAGTCGGCTCACTGCCGACTGGACTAAGACTTATTAGAAAACTAAGTTTTACTAGAAAAGAACTAAGTTAAATGGTTTTGCTATCAAATATAACTTTATTTTGTAGCTATTATTATTGTAGAAACTACGCGATATGAGGCTATCGAAATCGTTCGTCGCTAAAACTAGAATTCTGGATTAAATTTTTTAACAAATCCAGATATGTAATTCAGTATATATTTAACAAGTTATGTACAATTTACTTGCTCATGTCTCGATTCAAAGTCTCGACCAACATTGATTATGTTTCGTTAACGTATCCTGTAGTCTATAACAGTATCATTGTTATTATGTGTTACTAGTCTACACTCTGCTTTAAATCTATTATAACGTGCCTGTTAAGAAAACAGATTGATTGTTTTTTTTCTACTAGTATTTTCTTTATAGTGATTGTTTTTTTCTATTAGTATTTTCTTTATAGTATCTAAGTAGTTTTTAAAGGGTGATCTCTGTTATTATTTGCCTTAATATCCATTGACAGTCACAAAGACGGCAATATTATAGGTTTCGTTGCAAAAACGCCTGATAAATCAAGCTCAAAATTATAGCTTTCAATATTCATAAAGATTTAAGATTTGATTTAATAGCTATTTTTTATGTTTCAATGAATGTTTGTATCTTAAACAGTATTTGGCAACTGAATAAACGAATGGGATAGGGGTTTATAGATAATTATTTGTACAAGTAGTACGGCCGCTTGTTGAAAGAGCAATCATTGCAAAAATTACCAAATCGTATGTTTTATAATTATATTGAACTGCTAAAAGATAAATAAGGCACTTTGATGTGAGAACTCAGTTAACAGATTGTCACATTTACTGTAAAAACTATATTACAAATGTCTTTCGAATGTTAAACTAAACGATCATAGTATACTTGCTAAAACGAACTTCTCCGATCAACATACAGAAGCTCCAACTAATTTTACTCTGCTGTCAACTAAACTATATAATGACATGACTCTTGGTACGTAGTAGGCAACTATGAGTTCATAGCTGAAGTCGTGCTCTTATTATTATAAATTAATATACTCTCACATCACATCAACAGCCTTTACTAGTCCACTGCTGGACATAGGCCTCTCCTTAGGAAGGAGGTTTTGGCCTACTATACCACGCTGGCCAGACGGGTTGGTATAGGGTTTGTTTCTATATATACTCTGACACGGTATAATTATGCAACATGGTTATTTAAAATCTAATATATAAGAATAATCATACCAAATAAACAAATAATTAAGAATGTTTATGGATATTGTAATTCACAATTTTATACAATATTTAGAATATTGAGATTCAAGCTTTCATTGAAATCTCACAACGGCCATAGAAATATAAAAACAGTTTTTGTAACGCTTATTTTTATAAATTTGGACAAAAATATACAAGAATATTTTTATACAATGCGTGTTTTATTTCATCTACTCCTTTACTATCAATTTCATCATCATCATCAACAGCCTAAAATAGTCCACTGCTGGACATAGGCCTCTCCTTAGAAGGGAGGTTTTGGGCTACTACACCACGCTGGCCAGACGTATTGGTATAGGGTTAGTTTCAAGTTTTCCTTCTCTTTGTAGTGCTGTTGTTCTGCGTCTTCTTTTAGTCGGCTCTTACGACACCCACGGGATGAATAGAGGTGGTGACCTTCCGTTTGCATAATTCGTCACTACAAGGATATCTACTACTATACTATCAATTTAAGTCTGAACAATTCTATTAAAAAAATATTAGGTAATTGAATACATGTACACATACTTCAGAGATACTTGAAGCATGTGGTTTTGTGAAGTACGCTTATTATTATGAGGTAATTATATCCCCTCCACACGTTGGCAGAATGGCCGGCGTGGGTGGAGAAGAGGCCATCGGGGTGGGAGTCCTCTCGCTCGGTAGTATGATTGCCGCCATGGTACGGAGCGAGAGTGCGTGGAACTCCGTCGTCTCCTTCTGCGAGCAAGTCATGCTTGCGAAGGAGATGGCGGTGCGGACCAGGTACCGCAGACGACTCCGCAGACTCCAAAAGGGCGCTCGCGCTCGGTAGCGCGTCTCGCCGCCACTCCGGCCTAATTCTGCTAGGGTGACAGATGGCCTCACCTGTCACCCCCAGGCCTGCGCTTACGCTTATGGAGGACAGAGGTCGTTCTGTGACCTCCGGCGCCCGAGTCGTCTGCGGTACTTAGCTCGCTCGGAGAGTTTTAAACCTCTCCCGGTCCCGCTGCGCCATCTCCTTCGCAAGCGTAACTTGCTCGTAGAAGGAGACGGCGGAGTTCCACGCACTCTCGCTCCGTACCATGGCAGCAATCATACTACCGAGCAAGAGGACTCAAACTCCGATGGAAACCACGAGGTCACGCCTGTACTCCACCCACGCTGGGCATTCTGCCAACGTGTGGAGGGCCGTGTCCACGGTCCGGCCATCGCAGTGGTGGCACTCAGGCGTTGGCTCCTTGCGGATCTGACACAGGTGATCTCCGAAACAACCTTGCCCGGTGATCACATGCGTCAACCGGTATGAGAGGGTTCTGTGACGCCTCTCGAACCAACCAATAAATCATAACGGGTTTTTGTTGGGATTTCTGATCTTCAATTTCTCGAGCCTCAGGATTCAAACCCAACTCCCGCTCCTCTTTGCGCCACCGATACGAAGCCCCAAAGGCTCTCGCCTCCAAGTCCCACGGTGGAATTCCGGCCAGGAGACTCGCCGCGTCAAAGGAGATTGTGCGGTACCCCCTTATGACCCTGATGGCCAGCACTCGCTGCGGTCGTCGCAGTAGTGCGACGTTGCTGGCTCTCAGGGCTCCCGCCCATACTGGAGCCCCATAAAGGGCCATGGACCGTCCAACCCCCGAGTAGAGTCTCCTGCAGGAGTCATCGGGTCCCCTCACATAATACGAACACCTTAATAAAATTTAACATATTAGGTACATATAATGGTCCTAAGAGCTTAGAAGTGCATCGTCTAGCAAAGCTAAAAAAGCGGTTTTATTGGTCTATAAATTAACCTCTCTTACCAACAAAAGCTATCATATATTGTACTCGCATAATTGATTCCCTTTGAATTTGTAATCATTTTTTAATGCTTTTTTAAAGAGTTTCACCGCTTTTTGTCAGAAAATGTATTTTAAAGTTGTCATTATTCAGGACTATTTCGAATTATTTGAAGTGGTAAAATGGAATATGGAAAAAAAAAATGTATAAACAATATAAAATATATTTATTTATTTAAAAAAAAAAAATTTATTGTATAAACATATGTATATTTCTGAGAAATTGTTTTTTTTTTACCTAAATATTAGTTTATAATTTTATTTTATTACATATATTAAATCTACATTACATTACATTACCTTTATTAAATTATTAATGTATAAAATACCAATTGGTAATAAAATTATTTTTATACTAGGTAATAAAATTTAAT